TACTGATGACATCATTATAGTCACTCACTGCCTCAGTGTGCTCGTGGTTGTCGTCTAGATGACCGGAGTAGGATATCTAACTTTACAGTTGACAATTTTGACAGTGCACATCTATTTCACCTGCTCCTTCATGTTTCCAGCACTTCTATGCCATATCTTCGAATTTCTTTGGCTTCGTAGGCTGCCTTCCCAGCCTCGTTCATTGTAAGAACACTTTCATCAAAGGAAGACACATTGGTTGACTGACTTCCCGAATGCTTTCACCAGCCTGCTGTGTAATTTCGCCTCTCCAACTCCAGCAAAGAATAAGATTGTTGTTTGAATTTTTTGTATCTTTAATATATTTTTTGTTCGTTGAATTTTCTCTAGCAGTTTGATAGTTTTTTTTTGTGGTGCAGGCTCGCTAGCCCCACATCCAACCCTCCCTCTTTACACAGTCTTGGGACCGGCTAGAAAACTAGCGAGCTAGTTAACTAGAGAAGGTTCCATATTTTGATAGGTTACGTCAAACAGGTGACTCTAACTTCTATCTCTCGTTATCTCAATTTTTGGACAATACTAGTAACAAACAGGTCAACTAATTTAATGCTTCATTTTGCATTAAACTATCAGTACACTTTAAAAATTTGAATAGTGAGAATTTCATAAATGCACAAGTGATTGTTACACTTTTTAGACACTGAAGGATGGTGACAGGGATGCAAACCCGTCTATATCTTCTAGCTCCACAAATCCTTGTCCTACCTAGGCCACAGTCAAACCGAAACAACAAATAATTCAGTCAAAATATTAAACATATTTCGGGATAAGTAATGTAAGGGTGTGATGGCTACTTAACATGTACGTGCAACAGAACCTAACACGACAGAGTACTAAATGGTTTGGATGCTTGATCGCATATCATCAGCTTAACCTGTTGACTTAAACAGTGGAAGTCAAGCATCTAATGTTGATTGATGAAAGCTGTAGGGTAATAATTTTGGAGAATCAATTGCCGCTACAACCATCAATTCATGTACTATGCATAATGTGATACACTGGTAGTGCAGCTGTAAGATCCTTTGTTCCGTCTTGTTTGGGCTCAGTGCCACACCACACACTAATGACGATGAATTGGCTATTCATTTGCTTCACTGCTGAGTAGTGATTCTCTTCTAAAAAACCGGGTAAATGTTTTGATTTGACACTAGTAACTAATGTGATGCGTCTAGTCCTCTGATTGGTGTAGACTGAATTCTATCAGTCAGGTTGTTATGTGACCACCATTCTAGCTAGCTCGGGTAAATGTTTATTATAAACTGCTGACCTGTAGCCTCGTTTATCTGACTAATTAGGCGGATTGAGATTAGCGAATGTAAATCACTTATCAGAATGTGTTTTCAGGTGATTGGGGCTGAAGAATACAGGCCCGTCGGTCTTAACACATAGGAGTGTTAGCGATGTATGCTTAGCATTATTGGAACTGATTTCATATTGTAAAAGACGATATTTTTTTCTTTCTTTCACATTCCCCAGTGGAACATAGGGCTTCAAGCTAGTGACTTGAAGTTTCTGTAGCAGTGGTGATTATTTTTACAGGATGGGGTTGCTAGCCTCATGCCCAACCTTTCCTCTTTACCAGAATTATTTCTGGCTTAGCGAGGTAAAGGAGTGAGTCGGCCGGGGATCGAACCTCGGCCTGTGTGCATGGTTGGCGAGCGTCCTAACGGCTGGTGCCACCGACGCTAACAGACAATGTTACTGATGAGAAAACTTTTAATGTAAATAAATCAGACAATATATCTCTCTGTGTGTTGGCTCAGAGACTGTGCGGTTGAAATTAATCTATTCATGAGGTAAATTGCTTTCGATTAAATCTATTATCTGAAAGTTAATTAGGCGTCTGGTAAATACATACACTTCGTGTACAATGTTATGGAATATGGATGAGATGAATATGCACTCGTTTTGAATGCAGCATACATGTGTAATTTATGCAAACATTCTTCACCTACTCTATATTGCTCATGTATATGTATTTTTATAAACATGTATGCATGACTTATTATCATAATTTGTTTCGAATAATAATGACTACAATAATACCGTAATGTGTATGTTTTCAGTCACAACGGGTCAAATACAATACGGATTAAGCATATTTTGAGACTAAATTATTAAATTATTGCATACTTAGGTGAATTACACTTCCAATGTTTAATTCAGTGAAAATGAATGTTATATTTTCTTCACATAACAGTAAGCCATATTAAAATTGTGTCACTTAAAACTTGGCCAGAAATAAACAACAAAATTCAAGTTATACACATGTGTATGTGTGTAAATAGCTTGAAGAGTGTCACTTGTAAGTACATATACGAAGCCGTACATGAAAAAGCACGAGGAAATCTTCTGTACTTGTGAATATGAATGGAAGTTGCGATGCTTGCCTAAATTATTTGTTTTTTTAAATAAATCAGAGAAAACCTTACATTACTTATGTATAAACAAGGAGAATCAGTACAAGCGAAAAATGTGAATATACACTTAATATATATTCACCTAGATGTACGACGACCAACAAAAACAGGCAAGGAGTACTCCAGCTTACCTACGCTTAAATGCTCATCTCATACAAATCTTGAGAGTTAGATATCAGTATTGAGAATTAAAAGCTTGTAAAATTTATACGAATGAAAGAAGCAAGTGTTAACGCTCAATTTCATTAATGAGAAAAGAATCGCTGAATAGTTGTATTGCTTTTTGACTAAGATTGAAATTCAAGTAATCTTGTATTCTGTTCGTCAGTGGCATAGAGGGTAGGACGCTCGCCGACCATGCACATGGTCCTAGGTTTGACCCTCGGCCGACGCACCCCTTTACCTCGCTAAGTAAAGAGGAAAGGTTGGGCATAAGGCTAGCAACCCCATCCTGTAAAAATAATCACCACTGCTACAGAAACTTCAAGTCACTAGCTTGAAGCCCTGTGTTTCGCTGGGGAACGTGAAGGAAAAAAAATCTTGTATTCTGCTTCAAAAAAATATTAAGTCACGTTATCTTTGAGAAACTAAAATATATTCTGGATGTAAGATTGTGCCCGGAATAAGCTTTATTCAGTTAACACAAATCATGTGAAGACTAAATTATAACGTAGCACATCCTCCTCATCAACTTATTAGGTCAACTTCATCCACTTTGAAAAGCCTTCAACAGCATCTACTGTGAAGTAATTTGATAACTGCTTCAACACTACAGAGTGTAGTGCCACAAACTTGACTCAACAACATATGATGATGCCAAATGTCAAGTGATTTACAACAGAGAACTCAGTGAAATCAAGACAAGTGTAAGACAAAACTGCCTAATAACACCAATGATATTCCTGATTGTGGTAGACTGGATCATAAAACAGATCATTAGAAGTAAGGGGACAGAAATACGTCGGACGGACAAAAAGGCTCTAGAAAATCTGAACTGCACGGAAAATGTATATCTAATGTCACACAAACTAGAACATCTACAGGCGAAAACCAACAAGCTGGTTGGACTACAAGTGAATATATATATATAGAAGGCAGAGGCGAAGATAACTTACAGACAACAACAAACACCAATCACAATATCAACAGGAGAAATCTGAGGTATGTTGTCTATTTCACTTATCCGGACAGGTAACATAGTTTAAACTACAGGAGGTAGGGATGGGGCTATCAAAAGCAGGAGTGGAAAGGCAAGATAGACCTTAATTACTCTGAAGTCAGTTTAGAAATCTTCTACACTCAGCATAAAGAAAAAGATTCGGATTTTCAACACTAATGTCAAACTAGTTCGTCTATATGGTTCAGGGATTCAGAATGTCAGCAAAAACACCTCGAATAGGCTTCAGACTTTTATCAGCAGTTACCTTCGTCATGTACTAAAGATCAGATGGCTAGAAACAAAGAACTTCACATAACAAATATGCCGAAGAAAGTGGAGATGGATAGGACATGGGCTGGGGGGGGGAACCGTGGAGTGGTACCATACACCAGGTGCTAAATTAGGTGCCAAATGTGAAACGACGAGTTAGGCGTCCGAGGGTGACATGGAGGAGATAGTGTGGGAAAAAGATGAGAGCCAGCTTAAAGTGACTGCAGAGGACCGAGAGGAATAGAGACGTGCTGATGAAGTCCTATATTCCACTAGGAACCCCAGGGGAATAATAATAAAATTCTCGCATGAAGCTCAAGAATATACATATAAATAACTAAAATAAATTCAAACTAACTTCCATCTTGTGAGTAAAGTAAAGAATGTCATCTCTTTATTTTAATATTTGTCCATACACTTATAAAATTCCAAAGAAAATAAATATTGAATACATATATCTACAGTTCTCCACACGCTGGTTTATAATGCATTGTGCAATATACCACTATATAAAATGGCTGGTTAGATACCAGTCACATCACGCAGTAGTGTATGCTAGCCAGATCGAATTGGCCCAAAACACCGGCGGATATTTCATTCATCATCAGTAGCAATTCATCCGGTTTGACTCAGCTAACACAGCCGAATCACTTCCAACTTAACTAATTACGGCTAGAGACTTGACGTAATTGAATGAAATTCGCAAGTTAATTCAAGATTTGCAACTGTTTTTTTCTCATGAAGAATCTAATTCAAGTAGTAGGACCGCTAAACCTAAAGAAGAGTTTATCTGAAGAATAATACACGTTATGTTAGTTCAGATAACATGCACAGGACTCTAGACACATCCTGTCAATTGGCAGCAAATCTGTTATCCCTGGTCAGTACAATTGGTTGTTCACACTTAATGATGTGAAATTTACAAAATTATACCACAGCCTAGTTAATATAATAATGACCAGGACAGACATCTAATGTATAACGACTAACAGTATAATCATAAAACAATCTGTCTTCCGGAATCACTAGCATGAACACAACTGAAAGAATTCATCTGCCGGTAGAAAGAAATCAAGTTACTTTCCAGTTAACTGGAAAATATATGTATATATGTATCAGAAATGTATTATACAGGATAATAAGTTCAGGAGTTTGTGAAAACTACCTGACAATGACGAAAACAACAACAATAACAAGAACAAAATAAAAGGAGAAAAAATTTCAACTGAAAAACTAACTGGTAGGTTAAAGAATTGATAAATAACCATACTGAAGTGTTGATAGTAATATGAGCGGTAATCATAAGAATAATAACAATAATAATGATAGTAATAATAAATACATCATTCATACCATTTTTATATACACTTTAATGAAGATAAAGCCTTAACTAGTTGAACAATTAGATATAGGCCGAAAATCGACCGCAGAATAAAATTTTCAATTCACAGGCATTACTCTCTCTCTCTCTCTCCCTAGCATACAGAGGTTTCACTTGATTGTAAAGTGCTGTTTTTTTATTTGCGTTGGTGAATATGTTTTTCAGCAGGCGCTTGTATATTGCACAGCTTATACAGACATGAATATTATTATTATCAACTGCAACACATGTGGATTATGATGACTGTTGTACAGACGACTGTGATGATGATGATAATAATAATGACAGAGACAGAGTAACAAGGTTAGGATAAAAGCAGGTATGATGCTTTGAATATAACCATTTTTATATTACAAAAGATGCGCGAAAGAACCAGGAGCAAAAAATCTGATGTCAGGAAGAATTCATGATCGAAGAAGAAGGGAGAGAGGGAGGGAGGCAAAAGAAGAAAGTTGATAGATAGTGTGGTGGTGAAGGAGAGGGGCTTCTATTTCTCTGAGTCAACAGTCACAAAAATAGTTTTTTTTTTTCATATAATCAATCCTATATCATCACAGATGTATAATCTGGAGGGGGGAGGGTAGCGAAAGTAGACAGTCGCATTAGGTATGTGAAGAAGAGACATAGTTTATAAAATAAAGAAATATTCATGTTGACAGAAAAGAGTCATCAGTGATGTGGAATGATATCACAGTGTGTTAAATAATAATAAGTTGTTATGAATGAACGAAAAGAGGAAAACGAAGATATATATATGCAATCATCTAAAGATCATAAATTCATATTTGTCGAGGAATTATTATTAGCATCCTTTTCGAATTCAGCCATAGCATCATTGAGTTCAACAAATACCAAGCGGGCCATATTTTCATAAGATGTACCCATCCACTGTAAGAAAGAAGACAGAAACGCAAAAATATATATCAGTTTACGTTAATAAAAGTCTTTATAGTTCCGACAACACAATAAGATGATGTAGTTTATTTGTGTTGTTGAAATTCATAAAGGGAACTAATTGCTTTAAATCTTTATAGTCCGTTGACTGAAGTATTCATCTATTACTGAGAAGAGTTTAAATACTAAGCCAATTTTTATCGAACACTACTGCATATATTTTTGAAACTAGATGCCAAAGAAGAACAAATTTGGGTTAGTTTTAGATAAGATAAAGATTGATAGCTCAAATAGATGATGATTTAGTTGCAGTTGTGTTCTCTTCTGAGCTGATCGAAGCTTTCACTGTCTTTCTACACAATATCTTCAGAGCATGGTTCAAATTGAAGTAATATGGTGAAATTAATACTCTTCACTCATAAATACTAGTCACAAAACATGAATTTAAGACTCTTTGTCCTACATGATTATAATGTATAAAAGTTATGTTCAAGTAAGCTAACCTTGTCAGGATGAACTGCACGCGCAGCATTCCGATACTGACGTTTAACTTGATCACGGGTAATAAGATCAGCCATACCCACATGATTCCAACGTACTCCATCCCATAATATTGTAGGAAGGGAACATAATAACGCTCTAAGATTACGATCTTTACCTTCAGCCCAATCAAAAACCTAAAAGAAAAGAATTAGCAAGTTAGAGAAACGCTTGCCACCGAAATTCCAAAATGGTATTTTGTGCCAGAAGAACTAGTGTAGGCATAAGGCCATTTTAAAATGTTCCCACTTTCATTTTCCATAGAGAAATGGAACAAAAATGAAGTACAGAAATATTTAACTAAACTAATACATCCAAATTCAAAACAGAATAGAATTCTATCTCAGACACGCTTTCCAGAAGGATCCTAAAACTGGTCTAATATTGCATCACTAGCGATCCTCTTTAAGTAAATAACTTATCTGAAAGCTAAGAACCAAAGAAAACAGGTTTTACCCTTGCCTCTGACTCACCATCAGAACATGCCCTTGACTCGATTCACAATCGAAATCAAGGCACATTATGTTTGAAGACGAGTATTATTATGGGTAGTAATCGAGTAGTACACGTTTTTCCACTTTTAACAACCCAACCTGAGCTACAAACTTGCGGTACTACAAAAATATTTATGTATCATACATAGTTTTCAACTACTTATTGTCATGGTAGAATTGCTGGTTGCAAGAGGTAACAAACGGAATGTGAAGGAATGTCAGCGCCTACGAGTATCTCCAATTCCAACCTACGATTAAGCGTAAGACTTATAAAATATAAAAGGAATACTATAATTTTCCCCAAAGTGAAAGTGCTAGGACTAATTCACGGCTGTGAAATAAAATTGATGATTTGGAAATACTGAATAGTATGAGCAATACATTCTATAATTGTGCTAATCAGACTGATATATCATTCAGATGAATAAAACATTGTCTTCAAATAGAATCATTTTAAATTAACACAAAATGTCTGGAATAGAATCTTGCAAACTTGAAATATGTTCACGTGTGTATGTGTGTATGCAATTCTAACATAACAACTTTACTCCGTCTTACCTTCTACATCAAGAAGTTAAGACATTCTGGTGCAACCCAACCCTTACTCCTACAACTTGTTAACTCTCGTATTCTGCCTATTATTCTCTATTGTTCCCCCTTAGTTTTTCCAGGGCTACTGAAGAAAGACTATACCTTATTACGCAGGATGTTAAAGGTTGTCAGCAGGGTAATCAGTTTGCCACTTAGCCAGCTTGTTAATATTCTGGTGGACAGGCACATGGACTCATGTGGAAAATGGGCAAAATCCATTTTATCTGACTCACAACACCCTCTACATTCACAACTCTCCCCTTGTATCTCATCAGGCAGGCAAAACCAGAAGCCTTTATAGGAAACTATATGCCCGCACTAGTCAGTACAAAAACTCATCCATACCCTACTTAGCTCGTGTTCTGTGCGATAAAGAAAGCATTAGGCGTGAAACCTTTAACTTATTAAGTAGTCAGTAGAACAACTGGATCTTGTCTTTCCAACTCAAATCATTTATAGGTACAACTTTTTTTCTGTTATGTGCTGCTTTGTTTCTTTCTTTCTGTTTACACCAGTAGATATGCTAGAACCTACTTTTCCAACACCTTCTAACACTCTGTTTAATTTTGGCTTTGCTACCGACATGCTAATATGTTGTTGTCAAAACTAACTGAGATAACCTTAATCTATGTAGAACTTTATTTATTGTTAATGTACTAACTGGATGCAATATTGTAATAAAATGCTGAGAATTCCATTCTGTATCACAAGTACTGTTTTGGAATAAAGCTATTATCTTATCTTATCTTACTCACGGTTTAGCCTACAGGAGATTACATTATCCATGGAAATCAAACTCATAGTGGCAGCAAGAAACAAGGAGGACATCACCAGTATTAATTTTCGACAGAGTTAATATCAATCCACTAAGTTCATCGTATAATTTCATCAAGTCACAAAAGTGCAAAGCTTATCCAAGTGTTGGTTTGTAGGGATTTGATTGGTTTCAGGATTTCATCATGAGCTGACATTAGATAGAGCATTGAAAAACCTGGGAGTACTGGACAGCTGTTTCGTCCTAGTCTGGGACGGGATTCGAATCCAGGACCTTCTGGTTACAAGGCGAGCTCGTATACCATTAAGCCACTGGTACCCGATCCAATGGCCCATGAATTCTAACCTCTGCCAGTTCACGACATAGCGCGACCCCTAGCCAATGTCTTCGGCGAGTATTTGTCCTCACATCCGACCGGCTGCACCCTACTGCAAAGCTAATCATTTCTGTGCATGACCAGTTGAAATATTATGTGGAGATGTGGCTCACTGGTTCAAGCACTCAACTATCAGCCAATGGGGTTCACGATGCAGACTTACCACCAGCTACTTCAACTTGGACAACTGGGTATTACTGTCAACCTTCGAACAATAACTGCGTGGTTTATAACTTGGTACATGAACAGTCTGTTCCGAAAAACTGAGTTCTACATGTTTGAGTACGTCATTAAGGGATAAAGTGAACTATTTAACCTCAACACGTTGAAATAACTTCAAATAACAGTCAAAATATCAAATACTAATGATCATTAAAAGACAAGCTAGTAATGTGAAAAGATTTAACATTACTTTCAACTGTTCTGGATCAGTGGTTTTAGCCATCTTTTCACGACGAATTTGATTGACTGTTTTTGGTTGTTTATCATCTGCATTAGTTGTTCGAGAAGAACCAAACCCACCGAGTAGATCAGAAAAAGCATCTTTGTTAACTTGAGGTCTAGCTCCTGTCCCAGCACTTGGAAATGATGATGCTGAGGTATTTGTAAAACCCGACCACGAAGTATGAGCTTGATTGGACTTCTCATTAGTATAACTAGCGTTAGTAGTATTCTCCTTTTGGTTAGCATCCGATTTTGTTGATGAGTTTGTAAATTTCGGGTCGATGCCAGCTGACAGGCAGAAAATTTGAACGATTAGTGTGTACTGTAAACCACATAAAGTATTACATAGGGATAAAATGACTGATATCCTAAAATATGAGAAGAACTAAGTACTTATAAGTTCGAACCCGTGTGATTTTAACGATTGGGCACTTCAAACAGCAGACAGCTAGGTTCAGGTTCATTTTATTTCGGCTCTTTTTCAATATATACTCAATTTAATAGATTTTCTCACATCACTAAGTAAGGAAACCGACAGCCTGCTTAAGACTTGGGCTACCGAAAACCTCCATTAATATACTGAATATAATTTTTTCGTATTCGATTTGTCTAAATTCAGTAAAATATGACCTCTAATAGTAATATTTACTATGGCGAGCATTTAAAAAAGTTTACAATCTGCTGATTCGCAGTTTTCTACTAAACTTCAGAAAAGGCATTATCCTGAACGGCAGTTTAATCCAATAGATGAGATAACTTTTTTTTGGTTGTGTTCTTGGTTTAAAAAATGTACTCCTGAACTTTTTATATTTGATATTCAACCAAATGTCGTAAATCTCCCGAAGGAGACAAAAGAGAGATGGTTTGCGCTTCAAGCCAGATAGAAATGTGTCACACACGACCTATTGTCAATTAATATTTTATTTGAAGATCCTGGACAAAGAGCAAATATAGCATGCAATAAACTCCGCTAGAAATTCGGTACATTACATAAACACTGTTCAGGAATAAAGCTGTTATTATTACTGTAGATTCAGTGTTACAGATGCTTAATAATAGTTAATAATGTGACGAAAGTTTTTCCACGGTAATTTTAGTGCATTTGGGTATAAGTAATATTCAATATATTCCAACAAATTTTCAAAGATTTCGCCTTATCGTTCATCAGAAATAAACTAGACATCCTCAACTTGGCAGCAGTGTAAGTGTCACTTTTAACGCGGCAAATCATTCATTGTTGTACAGTAAAAAAAACTCAGTCAAAAAATATGAAGACTTTCGATACAAGAAATCGAGACTATTTAACCTTCTTTAAACAATACTCACTGAAAAGGTGAAAATACCCTGATTGGTTGGAGAATAATCGCCTTACTTTACAAAATCAGTAGTACCACGCCTAACAAAAATACAAAGAGAGTATAATAAGGCTGTAGTACAGCTGGTTTCTCTTATGAAATTTCAGTATGTGAAACAAAGCGAAATTATAGAATAATTGAAAAGTTAAACTACCATGGGAATGATGCAGTTAAACATGTTAGAGTAATAAAATCAAAACGTCCCAACTTGTAAACTTACATCTGGGATGGTGTACTGGACTAGGACCAGCAGAAAAACCACCCATTGTTGTCGGTGGTTGCTTAGCATTTGCACTACTACTGGTAGTAGTGGCAGCAGGAGAATTTCGATTATTTAGCCCATTGCGAAGTACATCAGCAAAATCTGCGAACGGATCAAGGCTATGACGACTACCGGTAACTCCAGTGGCAGTATTATCTGAAGTTTCAGTATTTGATGCCAAGTTAGAATAAGGAGGTGATGAGAACAATGGATTGACAGTAGGTGGATTCAGATTACTAGCACTTGCACTTCCACTTAAATGACAAGTTGTTTGTTCAAAACAGTCATTAGTTGAATTACTTTTACTTTGTGTAGAAGGATTATGAAAACTTGGCTTCGAGAAGAAGCCAGATTCCAATTCGGATGTAGCTATTCCAAAAGGATCGAAAGGATTGTTAGATGAGCCACTAGCAGCTGCACCACCACTACCACTGTAAGTAGTAGAAGGATTTTCTGACGGTTTTCTTAAAGCCTCCTCCCAAACAAGATCAATATTTGGACTATCATCAACAGTTGGAGAAAAAGTGAATAAATCGTCAACAAACAATTGTTTGTCTGTTTTCCTTTCATTTACACCATTCTGATTCTTTGGTGTGCCGACACTGTCTCCAGCATTTTCACTGTTAGTTACAAAAGGATTTTGAGTCACATCAATTAGAACTGGATCGCCAACACTGTCTACGTTGGTTGGTACAGAAGATTCTGTATGCAATCCCAGTAGGTCCACAAAATCCGACTCCTACAACAAAAAATTAGCAAATATTGTGGAGATAACAGGAATGGAAAACGAGTGGATAGGATTATAGTTCAATTTGTTATTGATAAAACATGAATTATCATTGCCATCATAGTAAGGAATAACTGGATTCAATATCATTAACGACGAACTGCAGTGATTATGCTTGATTGATTGGTTTGTAGTGTAATGGAGAGCAAATAAGACGTTAAACTTAGTAATCACTTTGACTCTCATTAGCAGATGGTAGCTATTGAATTTAGTGGATAAAACAACCAGTAGGCATTTTACAAACTGTAGAATCACACTCTGTCATAGTTAGTTTTGGGTGATCCCAAGAAAGTTTTCTGTAATAGTAGTTCAGTGAATAATAATAATAATAATATAACTGTATTCTAGACGAAATGTCTTCACAATGTATACCATTCTCAGCATAATCTACTGCATGATATTTCCTCCTCATCCAAAATCTTAAAGTGAGAGAGAAGTCTATAACATATCATGTGATTCAAAGCGGTGAGATCTGAAGCATAGACTAATCCCTAATTAATACTTTTACGTCATCTCCGACACATGCGCACCAATAGTTTAAAAGCCACTTAAAAATGTGTGGTGAGAGCTGGCTGCAAGCCAAAATAGTAGACAGCAATTTAGGTCAATGTTACATCCGAATCGGGGTCATCACCAACCAATCACTGAAGACTTTAACGTGTGCAAATACGATTCGCAGGTATATGGCTTAACTTTCTGAGAAACGGTCACAAACAGTACAAAATAACCTTTAGCAAGAAAACAACCAATCAGAAGACGCTGCTTCTCCACTGACAGTAATGTACATAAAAATGTATATCTCTTGATTTTCTCAATAAACGATCTGTTGCCTGGCCTTTGTCTTCTGTCGTTACAAATGTACGCGAGTACATTTTACGACTTGAAGACACATTTGAATGGTTAGAAGAATAAGAAGTGGAGTAAATATAAAGCATAGTGATGAATAAAAATCTAGGTAATCCAGTGATCGAAGCAGGTAGTCTCAAAAATTACCAAATACAATCAACAGTTATGCACTTACAAAGTTAGGTCGATCTTCTGACAACAATGAAGTGGTATTTTCAGTGGATTCATCCTTGAAAAACTGAACGTTGTTATTATTATGAACAGATGGTTTATGGGAATGATTAGGCGAAGTACATGGATCTGTAGGTTTGACTTGGTTATCCTTAATTAAGTCTGGTACTAATAGGTCGTCATCAGCTGTAGCCTCTTGTTGGATATTACTTGAATTATCAGCAGTAGGTTGATATGCTGGCATCGACTTCTCAGAATTGACTTTTTCTTGTTGTGAATTGGATTGATTTTGTTCTAAATTATTTTTTCTATGTGTTGAAACTGATGGCTTACGATTAAAACGTCCTATGAAAAGCAAAGTGAAGATAAATGTGAGTTTATAATTAGTCAGATGATTATAAAGTAGTAAGTGAATGAAATTTGTCCAATAACTCATCAACTGAAAAAGGCTTAGCACTAATCACCAAATAGATAAAATGAAGATGAACTACAACGTCAGTCAGTGGAGCTTAAAGGTAAATACATGCGAAGACAACACGATTCTGTGTAGAACCCGAAAGCAAGCAACGCTTACAATACAACCATTAATGAACTACGCATGCTCAAAACATGCTATTGATAAGAAAGTAGATCCAAGTTAAAAATTTTAATTATGCAAAGCATAATCAACTCGACAAACAGCTGTCACCTAGAAATTGTAAGCATACTTGGATACTACAATGACCTAAGAAGCTACACCGGTTGGAAAGAATGTTCCAATAGGATTCACTTCCTATTCCAAAAAGTTTCGATAGTTAGGAGATACAACTACCCATAGTTACTACAAAAAGAATATTTTCTTAAACTAATATACAGATACATGCAACAAAGCGGTTATGTTGTCATAACGTTAAAGAGATGAACGAAGTTAGAGGAAGTTACTGACGAAAGTGTACAATCTAATCGACTCAACTGTGGTGGATTGTCAAGAGTCAGGTGTTTCTCACACACAAAATTACAAATTTCATGGTAATAGAAAAGATCATGTGCGACTGATCACTAATCCTTTTTCGTTTTTATCTACCTGAAGCAATAGTTTTGTAGTGTGTGTATTCGGTGAATAACTACCATGCATACCCTTCTGTGAGAATGCAATCACGCATACTCTTTATCTCCTTACTTTCCTGCCACTCCGACACATTTCCGTCACCCCTACTAAAACACTGTACACAAATTTGACAAATTAAGTCAGATGAAAACCGTTTCTAGTCTTCAAAAACCACACTGAGAACCCCGTATGTGGTTAGTATACCGAATCGAAACAGAAGCATGACTGACCAAAACTCTGGTATCATCGATTTAGGACGTATGCTGCATATTCGCTAATACACATAAACAGAAACCATGTGGTGTTATGCAAAATAACCTCAACTAGTTAACGTAATGTATCTACAAAATTCACTTCAGCGGTGTCAAGAGATCCATTGGCTAATTCTTGTCAGCTTGCCGATGAATAGATAACATTAAGATTGAGAGCTGGAACAAAAAGTAGAAGTGGAGAGATCAATACATGAAGTGACTGACTTTTAGTAGGTGCATATTGTTCGACTGGGTACACCGGGATGATTACGTTACATGCAACTGAACCACTGATTCGCACAATATAAAAAGATGTGACACCTTGTTATTAGATTCTGTTGATCAGTCTAAAGAAGGCTCACAGTCCAGTTTTCAAACATGCTGAAATACACATCGCCCAACAAATGAGGTGATTATATAATATGGACTCAAAAATTTCAAGCAAGACTGTTAGGAATATATGTCGTCTAGAAAACAACCGAAAACCTGGGAGTAATCCCTTTCACGTTTTGCTTCCTTCGTTAGTAAACACCGAAAGACATCAGATAACGACGTGGAAGGATCACAGATTCATTTACCCTGTTAGAATCCACTGTCAATTAGCGATAATACCTCTATTATAATTTACTAGTAGCGCAAACGACTTCATACAAACATTTCTGTTCAAAAATATCCTACATAAAATCCAGTTAGGCTGAACTGACACATACGACATAGGTACTAAATGTAATCCATATTTCAGTAAACAATGATGTAAAAGGAGTTCAATAAAGTGTAAATAAATTAGTCAGAACTGTTTAATGTTGTACACCATAACATGACTTTATCAAAGTATATTGTAGACTCATTCCAACAACTTACCGAAATCAGATAATATACTGGTCAATTCTTGTGAAGTGGATACACATAATTCAGGACGTAATGCATCTTCTGAAGGCAATGTTTCCCATGGATACACGAGATTATCACTTTGTCTTGGGCGTTCAGTAGGCGAGACCATGAACTCCAGTGTGACATGAAAACTTTCAGCATAACGACTAGTGAAACCAGCAAAACTGCTACTATTGTCAAGATGATCCAAATCTGACCTGTTAACCAAAATGAAAAGTAAGTAATCTTCACAATTAGAGCTAATATATCCATATACACGTAGCTAGATATCCCACTTGAATGCACGCAAATATAGACAGGGATATGTACCTCTGAAAAACACGATTCATATGGAAATATTCCACTATTCTGTTTAATCCAAACGAATATGACAATCAGGTGTACGATAAAACCCATACATCAACGTGTACTCACTTTCAACTACAGATTTTTTTTAGGTTATTTTCTAAATTAAGTGTTACTTCTCCTGGTTTAATCAAATCTTTAAAACAATTAGTGCCTTTAATGAATTTGCACAGTGTATTTGTGCAATACATTTCGAACAATCTGATCACACATTTACTTATCCAGTCAATTTATATCAAAAATAAAAGGTCAATTAAAATAAACAAAGTGACAAAAAGGATTTAAGAATTACGAGAATAACTAACACTAGGTCTGGTTATATAGTCAGATAAGGATTACCCTAGAGTGATAACAGACTGTTTTTGTACACAGAGGAGGATGGAGGGGGTTGCTTAAGTTAACGAATAGCTATTACCTGTGAGTATTTCGATAAGCGCCCTTGACTGTTTTTATAAACAACTTCAAAGGTTGTTTTGACACCAGTCTTATAGTTCATATCGATTAAGTGTTTAGCCATAGACGAAGTTGGTAGTCTGCTACCTGTGTCAATCGATTTTTGAAAGTTCATCTGTTTTTCTAATCATTTCGGAATATGCTCTCCCACCCTCATATGCAAAGTGCGACTACTACTGTCTATGTATGCTACCCCCCCCCACACACACGTAGATTGATAAATAATGTAGAATGAGATACAAGCACCTGTGCACTTTTGAGGTTCGTTGCGGAGCATGTTTTCAGCTTTTTCAATAATAATGAGCCATGCTATACAATAGGTTCTACGGATGACCGAATTTAATCTGTCTTAAAATCCTACTACAATCATCGTTATTAATAACTTTCAAAACATTTACCACATTATTATTATTATTATTATTATTTGGTCCACAAAATCACCGTCATTGGTTAAAATTTTTATATATGAATCTATGTAAATTAGAGTAAAGCCTGAAGATCTAATTGAAAACAATATTGTTCGCTTATATGTCTTGTTCTAATCTCCCATTGTATGGCAATTGAATTTATTCAAATACGTAGAGGTGATGGCTTTTCGTAAACTTAAGCAATCCCCTTTCCTCTGAGTACAAAAGCAATCTCTTATCACACTTAATCTAACTTGATAATCTTTGCCTAATTATATAACAAGACATAGTGATAGTTATTCTTATTAATCTTAAATCCTTTTTGCCACTTTGTGTATTTTAATTGGCCTGATCTATACAATAGGTGTACGTATGTACATCTAAAACAGAAATCATATCAGTTGCTGACATATCTCTGCTTCAACTGTGATGGACTTCCCCGTCGCATCTTACATCCATCTTTTAAGCATTGAATCAATATAAGTTGCAAGGGAAGCTCACAATACCGTAAATTTTGAGGATATACACGAAGAAAGAAATGTATTCTCTTACCCAGAGTACAGGTATTACACTTTCTTATTTAATGCTGCTTTCAGTTACAGTTGAGTGAACTCAATATGCATACGCACATATATCTAAAAACAGGAACTTGTTTCATGTCAATCACAATCACATTAATGTGTAGGCAAATGAGAAGAGATGGAGCTATCTGAAATCTCTACGATATGATCACAATATGAGCATATTTGTATTATATTGAAGTTGTACACCTGTGATTACCATATAATACTGGATAAATAAATTATAAGCAAAGCACAGGATATGTACCTGTGATTGAACAACCAACAACAAGAATCAACATGCAACTTAGAAATTTAAAAAGTATTGAATGAAAGAATTATTTATCGGAGGATAGAAACAGACATAAAAACAATTGTTATTAAAAATAATAATCTATTCAGTTGCCTGATTTTCTTAACTGAAACAAATGTGTTGTTCTTATATAACTGTACAATAATGTACAGCGAAAAGAACACACACACATACAGAGAAAAAACAAGACCTTTTTACAATTTCCAAACGAAACTAATGCTACCACCTACGCCAAAAAACACTCCACTTATAACTATGCATATATGACGTTCACTACTCTGAAATCAATGTGTAGATTTTATTGCACTCAGTAAAAGGAAAAAGACGCCAATTTTGACATCAACATCAAGTTAACGCTACTATATGGTTCACGAGAAGCATTTCCAACAACCTGCTGGAGATTTTCATCAACATCTGTCTACTCTCCGTGCTAAAGATCAGATGACCAGCAAGAAAGGATAATTGGTAAGAAACTGTGTCGCATAAGGAACCAACTAAGAACTTATTGTTGAACAAATACGCAGAAGAAAGTGGAGATGGATTAGACGAACTCAGGGGAGACTGTCGAGTGACATCATGCGTTAACCTATTGAGTAGAATCTAAAGTAGAAAACGATGAGTTGGCCATCTGAAGGTGAGAATGAAATGAAAGCTTATGGGCGATCATGGCGCCAGATAAAAGTAACTGCAGAGAACAAAATGAAATGCAGATATGTTGTTAAAGCAAAATGTTCCACTCGGAACCTAAGGGAGTAATAGTAATAACACCAATGCATGTACACCATAAAAATCATTGATAATTTTTATCAATATGCAATCGCTAGAATTATGTAAATACAAGTGTACAGCATACATCAAGTGGGTGAACCTTTAAACAGCCACAGATAAATGGAGACAAACCGACTGCCGAGTTACACTTCACAGAAGCAGATCAGTTCTTTTTAGTACACCAAAAAATGACAAACAAAAGAATGGAGAGAAATAGAACAATAGCAAAAGGAAAGAAACGTGGAAGACCCAATCGTCAATAGTTTCTTGATATAATAAGGCTGAATATTAGGAAAATACACATTATCGGAATCGAATCACCGACATACATATTTTATGCTAACAGTGCATTATTGGACAAAATTTGTTTTATTTATACATATGACATGCTGTATCAATCTCTGGTTAAAATTACTCATGGAGTAATCAAAACAATCATTGTTGTAATTATTTAATTACATAAAATATGGAAGCAACCAAACCGTGTGAAAGAAAAAAAAAAGCCAACAATCTCTCCCGATACCTCTATTCTCGGCTATCTCTAATTCAAAGTGTTAAAACCTAGAAATTAATTTAAAATATTTGAAATAAAACGTCAGTCTTCATATAATTGAAAGCACTTTTGCTTGACAGCCGAATGTTTCAATTATAGACTTAAGGTTAAGTATCTCAAAGACAATTCATGAAAAATCACTGGTAACAACATCATGCACCCTGAGCTCGGTATCACTAAGGCTAGAAACAGTTTAGGATTAAGACTATCTTCAATTAATTCCTCGTCCCCAACTGACATAAGATTAGAGAATCAGTCAAAACAAAAGGTGTCATAAGCAGTTGTTATGCCCCAGTGAGCAGTCATGTACCCATAAAGAATGAAGACTAGGCCACTCAGTATAAACCCAGGTTTGCCGTTCAACCGGTAAATTGGAATTAAAAGGGTCAGTAGCAAAATTTATATTGCAGTTCGTCAAGTTTCTCAATAAATGTCTCCCTCAACATCAGTACAGGTTACAGAATCATACAAGTGAACTAAGAACACCCGTTATTCCTTTTTTCTTTAAAAAAAACACATTTCCAAATATCAAGTGATTTCTGAACTAAATACCATATTGAGGAATCATTATTTAGCGTAAATCAACACCAAAAAGAAAAAAGAGTAATAACTCACTTAAAATAGATTAATTCAGTGAGGTTATGTTCAACAAATCCAGTGTACAACTGAAACTGAGCTATCTTTACTGACCTAATCTGTAACAGTTTAAAGGCAGGAAAAAAAGCAATAGTGAAATAATAATAATAATAAAAACAAATGTCAGCTAAAAAGAAATATATTGCGTGACTGTACGTATATACGGCTCAGACTAAAATCCAACTGAGCTCACGTGTTGTGGTTCGGACACCATCTGCGACCACGCCACACACACACCCCTTTGAGTCCCTCAACTAAATCTTAATTCATCTGCCTATAGGCAATAGAATACATAGTGGGTGAGTATACATGAAATAATGTCCCAGATACACATAGTGATGCAGGTTTACAAATACATCAGCTAACTTACTATTTTTTATCCATATCACTAGGCTTAGAGTCTTTGTAGTGTAGGCTAAGTAACATAAGTATTACACAATCCATCAGACACAGTTCTGCTGCTCACTTTGAAGAGAATTCAAAGATGCATTGCTTGTAAGTTAGAACCGCAATAACAACAAAACCAATCAAATTACCAAATAAATACAATGAACAGTGGGAGCGATGTCATGAAAGTATTATCCACATGGAAACAACTGGGTATTAGGAGTGACCCTAAATTCTATTCTCTTCTACATTCTACTATTGATCGACTTTGCACACACACCATCTAGGACTTGTGAATTTCCCACTTAATCTACAAGATACATTACTGCTCTAGTTAAAACAAAGCATTTATCTTCCTTATCTGAAACATTTCTGCATAGTTAGTGCTAGCGTAGTCCAGTTAATCGGGTGCAATATAATATTGAGCAAAACAAGCTCTGTGTAATGATCTCAGTATGTTCCGTCATAGGATCAAAGAGGAAATCAACGAACAATTGCAGTCAAAGTTACGATATCAATTAGTTAGTATTGAATTATCCGAAATAGAAGTTTCATGTACCGTGCTAAAGGGAGAAAATTATTGCTTGACAGTTATTTTTATTTATTTATTTTATTCTTTATTTTTGATTACAGCTTGATTTCACGCCGTATTTTGGGTACAAGTATGGAATTTTCAGAATGTGATATCGGTAGCCCAAATTTTGCAGGCCGACCATAGATATGAGGTGTGCGTCGGCAGGGGATCGAACCTCGGAAAATGTGCATGGTCGGCGAGAGTCCTAACTACTGTGCCACCGACGCACACAAAAGTTGATGATACTACTCAGTTGTCTAGGCTGTAGTAAGGGGGAGAGGGATTGGAACATACGACCAACTGACTGCAATCTGACTGTCATGTCAACCACATAACAAGAAATGAAGATCATACTGTACAAAAGCGCAGCACTTCAAATGACTAATACCATCACAATAGACAGAGAACAAAAAACCACATACACGCTTTGTTTCATCTTAAGATTGATCTATAGAAATTCGATAACAAAACATGTACCAATAAAGTAAAGGAGAATACTGCAATAGACACAACAAACAATTTTCAATGACCGGTGTAACTTTGCACTTCCAAGTATTTAACCGAAATCAACTGACATAACATGTGGTCAGTGACCATAATTCGGCTAATCATTGTAATTCGATATTAAACAGCACGAAAAATAAGGGAAAGGAAAACAGTTTCTTCCATGTTTCAGATATGCCTTGCTTACGAGTATCAATTGGTTTAGATAAGAGAAACAGAATTTAGGCGAATTGAAAAAATGAAGGCATTATTACAATTTTCGAAGTCTTCCTAGACGCCTCTATACTGTCTATAAGTCGTAATTACTTGATGGATAATAATTCATTATAATACTCCATTATTCAAGTTAATTGTATCCTGGAAGATACAATGATTAGCAATCACATTTTTATACTACTACATTATAAATTCGCAACAATGGACCACAAAGAATATGATTAAACAGCATTCTAGAAGAAAAAATCCAACGTAAATAAAAGAGATATACCTTTCCACTTCCGGCAAACGAAGATCGACAATGATAAATTATAACCGTAAGATCACCCAAAACTGTCAATCCATTCAACAGTATCTCAATCTTGCCATCTTCAAGAACATATGGTCTGATAAATTATAAAAATAAGGAAAAGACAAAATTATTTTAGTTTTTCCCGTCGATTGTTTGGGCCGAAGTGCTTGGTCTCAGACAAAATTAATGAAATTCATGATGATCAACACAGAGTGTATTGCATGTTTCCATCTATTACGTAAGTTTGAGGCATAAGGTGGACAGCTTGTCAAAATAGTTATCAGTAGTATTGCCTGAGGTGAAACTGATTACTCAATCCTAGGCGAACGGCAATGGTTTCACATCTGAAACTTATTTGTTACATCTCGGACGCTTAGTAAAACCCTGAACTAAAACATCAAAAAGCCTTAGTAAGCGGGTATAATGTGGGGAGACTAAGGTATGCATCAAATATATAAACACTGATAATAATGCTGACCAGCTTTCAGACAATGTATGCGTTGAAAGTGCGACCTACTGATATCAGTTCACTTCTCTAATAAGCCACAACCCATCTTAATCTACACAAACAAACACCTATGAAATGCAGTCTCTAGTAACTCACTACACATGTTTATAAATTCTACGCACTTCAAGACTCCCTTATACTTTCAATACATACTCAAAATTTTGTAAGAATAATTTTCGCACAGCATGTAATTATGGAAACCACAACTTTTTGATTAAGAAAATCCTCTGCGAGTATAATTTATCTTCCAATGTGGATAGAGTAAATGCTGAAAAAATGACACTTAAATTGTGGAAAAGAGCATTGTATGTTATCAAGTGCCAGTTTCTACGGATTTGATTGGTTACAGATTTGTTCACAAGTTAACATGAGCTAGAGAACCATTGGAAAACCTGTGGGTGCTGAATAGTTGATTCACCCCAGTTTGGGAAATTTCATCAGCACACACCCACTGGGGTTAGAACTCAGGACGTTCGGTTACAAAGCGAGTTCGTAGACCACTCAATCACTGGTGGCTATAACTTAAAGAATTCCTGCGAACCAACACTTTATAATTAATGATGCTCACATTGTGTGCATATATTACTCGCAGCGCGAGCAATCAACTAATTCTTTTGTGTCTTCCTGATCAACCTTAATATAGGCCTACTATGCATTTACGGTTATATATATTCCTATTGGTTAGAGATTAGCTTTTATCGACAACATTAATGTTTTTTAAGTAACACCAATGTATAGAATGTTTTTTTAAAAAAATAACAATGAATATCCCACTCACTGCTCTAATTTTTTTAAACTAATCAATATCGCTCAATCCCTTGTTATTACACTTGAACAAAGAACTGTTGTGCTTCCATAGTTATTCACACACACCCTTACCACCCCATTTTCTCTCGCTGTTTTTAATATTACCATTCATGCATATGAAATCTACAATCAGTATGAATTAGATTCAGTGTGAACAGTGATCACGAACACTCATTACTGTATATGCATCGTTAGTCATGATCACTAACATATGAAATTTGATATTCAATGTAGTGTTTCTATTTATGCATATTGTCACATGTACATGCTTTAAACCATGATATATTAGCACTCTAATCGCGTATACCTCTTGGAATTTTGATGTCTACGACTCGACGTTATTTAAAAAAATGTTATTACAGATATATAACTGTCAACCTACGGTTGTCCCGATGAAGAGTAGTTATCGGAAAGTATATTCTTAGTTGTAAAAAATATTGACCAATGACGTCCGAGGCTGAATTATCCGTTCTTTACTTTTATTTCCAGTATTATTATCGCTCTGTTAGGTCCCAAGTGCAACACAGGTCTTCAACAGTACACCTCCATTTCATCTTGTTTTCTGGAATTATCTTTAGCTAGCTCTACAACTGCTTATAGGTTCTCATTTCCGCCTCACGCGATTTTCTCCATGTCACCCTAGGAGGCTCAACTCGTCGTTTCAGTTGAGGTAATGAGATATGGTGTCACTCAACGGTGTCCTCATTGTGTGTCTCATATTCGCAATAAAATGTAAAGCACAGAGTAAAGTTAATTACCTTAGATTGTCATAATCTGTATAGGTTGAACACACCATAGTTTTTCCTTCAAATATCTCCACGTACGGACGACATCCATTTCTAAAAAAAAAAGGAAAAAAGGAACAATGAGAACTGAAATCATTTCAACAAAGACACAAGATAAATTACAACTAGCAAATAAAGTGACACAATAGAACCCTGACCTGTGACAAACAGAAACGAGTATCAACAATTCCCAAAAACGCATAATCATCCCTTGAAGTGTGACATCACACCCCACAGTTTATTCTAGGTTATATGTAAACGAAAAGCCTGGAAATAATGTAGGCGAAAACATGAGCAGTCAATTATTTATTATTTATTTAATAACTATCATCGGGAAGGAGAGAAAGAAGGAAATTGCAACACGTTCGCCACTGATTACGATTCTTGACCATATCCGATAACGTTTCGAGCTGTTTCGCGGACCCCAACCAGGGAGTCGTAATGCACTAACCGATGCTAATCTAGCACAAAAATCCTTCATCCCACGACACCACGTCATGCACTGACCACCTCTCCGCCTTTTCTATCTCGTCCCAGGGTTAACGAACAGAGACCTGTACGGAAGCCTCTGGGATGACATTCGCAGCACATATCTAAGCCACCGGAGCCGGTGTTTCCAGATGACGACATTCAATGAATGGTGATCTCCACTGTGTTCAAACACACGCCGCCGAACCTCAGAATTACTCACGCGATGATGCCGTCGAATGCAAGCAATCCTGCGGAGACAGCGATGATCGAACATGCACAGTCGCCACACATCCTCAGCCCACTCGGAGAGGCCAGGTTTCACAGGCGTAGAACAGGGCAGCCCGCACCGAAGCACTGTATACCCTACCTTTGACAGCCAGGCTAACGTCGCGACGGCGCCATAAGTGGCTCAAGTTGATGTATACCACCCTAGCCTTCATTATACGGTTGGAAATCTCATCTGTCAGCCCTTCGCCAGCGCCCACACAAACTTATCAACAACTTCAAGCGGTTCACCCGCAAGAGTGAGTGCAGGTACAGGCTCCTGCCAATCTTGTAACAGTCAATACTGACTGAGTTTCAATGTAAACGTTAAACAGAAGTGCAGAGCTTCAAATTGCCATTCTTCATATAGCAAACAAAGGTAGATAAAAGTAAAAAAACAAATGAATTAAAACAACTGTAATATAGAGGAGAAAGAATAGCGATATGGAATATGATGAGGATATAAGCGAATACAACGAATGAACGCATCTGTGCCATTGAGAACAGTTTTTGGCCTATATGACCAACAATCTCAAATGTTTGGTTCTCGGAATTCTGAGACGAGACAAGAGGTAATAATGGTTTGGATTATGACAAATGCCTCCAAAGCCTCAGGATGGTCGGGGGTGGGTGCCTTGCGCTGCGGGTTGGCCACCCCTCCGCACACCTCTTGAAATGCTCCCATATGACCGGGCGTCTTACATAGCCTCTCCTGAGGAAGTCCTACTCACTGCCTTCACGTGGCGGAGGTGTTTTTCACCAAAGTGAGAGGGCAAAAGCGGATGCCCGGCGCTCTTCACCGGGTTGACTGTCCATTGGATGACAGTCTAGGGGAGATGGCTAAACCCTGATTCCAAACCTCCAACGACTGGCGTATGAAGCTCACTGGAGCTCACCGGCAGACGTATGGACAAAGGGCTTGTTGGATGTCCTGGATGTCTGGCCCCATTCAAAAAGGCGTATGAACCGAACTCCGGTCACCGGCTGCCAATGGATAGTGGACTCCCTACTCCACTCCTACTGCCTTGTAGGTCACACTTGGTTGTGTAAAGGTCGAGCGATGCTGGGGACATCACTCGTACCAAATTCCCATGAAACTTCATGAACTCTCTTACAAACAACTCTCACCATGCTACGGCGTTCCCGGTAAGCGACGCGCCCTGTGCTCACCCGGTGGCCAGTGTGAAAAGTAAGCTAGCTGGGAAATTAACACTTAGAAACCAACTATTTGTTGGCTGCTGGAATGTTAGGACGCTGTTGGATCCTGGTAGCCAGTCTATCACCATGCGTTCTTTATACGACTACAAGGTGGACATAGCGTGTCTATCTGAAGTGAGGTTACCCGATCATGGCTCCCGCCGAATAGCCGTACCTGGAACAGATTCTTCATTCTGGTTGCTTCATAGTGGACCCCAGAATAATTCGGGACAACATGGGGTAGCATTTGCTCTCAGTAACAAAGCCAATAATGCCCTAATATCATTCGAACCGGTCAACTCCAGAGTTGCAGTCGCTAGGTTCAAGGGTTCCCCGCTCGACATTTCTGTTCTCGCTGTCTATGCCCCAACCCTCGACTCTGATGAAAGTATCAAAGACGAATTTTATGACAATCTTCAAGAGGCAATCAACAAAATCCCAAAGCGTGACGTTCTCATAGTAGCCGGCGATTGGAACGCCCGCACTGGCCCTTCAGACGACGCGACAAAACATATACTAGGCAAACACGGTCTCGATCAGCGCTGCCGTAATGGTGATAGACTTTTAGCTTTTTCTGATTACAATCGATTATATATCACCAACACTCGATTTCAACACCCAAGAAAACATCTTCTCACCTGGTATTCGAACGACGGTCGCACTGCACATCAGATCGACTACATCCTAGTGCGCTCACGCTGGATCTCCTCGGTGGAAGACTGTCGATCCTATCGTGGAGCAGAGGCCGGAAATAAAGGGGGATCAGACCATACTCTAGTTAGGGCGAAATTCAAACTTCGTTTAACAACACGCCAGAAGGCGCGACCTCCGAAGCGTATCAATGTTGCCCCGCTTCAATGTTCGACAAAGCGACAAGCCTTGTCCAAACAAATCCAGGCCGAACTAAGCGCCGCAGATGAACCAACATCCACATCTTCTAATACACCTGAGACACGATGGAATCATTTCAAAGAAGTAGTCTCTAAAGCTTCAATGTCGCATTTGGGTACCACATCCAAGAAGCAGAAAGACTGGATTTCAGAGCACACCATGCATCTATCCTCGCAAGCCAGAGACGCTCGCCTAGCAAAGTCTCCAGTTTATCGCTCCCTCAGGCGCAAAGCTACACAGTCTGCTAGGAACGACAGAAATCGCTATTGGTCTAACGTGGCGACTAACATGGAAGCAGCATCAAATGTAGGCGATTTCGGAAAACTTTATCGCCTCATACGCCAATCATCTGGCAAACGCCTTAACAGTCATGCTGTGTTACGCACAGCATCAGGAGAAATTATTTCGGACACCAATGGTAAGATGGAACGATGGGCCGAACATTTCAAGCAGCTACTCAATCGCGACGCTGGTCAACCGTCTCATCGACCGATACGACACTTACCAACACCCTACGTAGTTGACTGCGATCCACCCACTCCAACCGAAATAGCTAAAACAATTAACAGACTCAGAAACAAAAAAGCTCCGGGCGAAGATGGTCTACCTCCAGAAATATACAAGGCCTGCACTCCAGCGCTAATCGATTCGCTGCACTCGCTGTTCTGCTCAATTTGGGAGTCCGAAACCATTCCTTCCGATTGGAGCACCTCAGTTCTGCTACCGTTCCACAAAAAGGGAGACAGGTCAATATGCGAGAACTACCGAGGCATAAGTCTGATTGATATCGCTGCTAAGGTTTTTGTTTCCATTCTCCTGAACCGCTTCGCGGCCGAACGCCACGTGCGAACAAGGCCAAATCAAGCCGGATTTCGACCTGGAAGAGGCTGTGTTGATCAATTATTCACACTGCGAAGAATTTTGGAACACAGGGACAAATTCCAACAGCCGACGGTTGCTTGCTTCATCGACTTCCGAGCGGCATTCGACTCAGTTGATCGAGGAGCACTCTGGTATCTAATGGAGCTCGACGGAGTTCCGACCAAGCTAATCAACCTGCTCAGGTCATACTACTCCAACACCAAAGCTCGAGTCCGAGTGAACGGTGAAGAGTCTCGCACTTTTGAGGTAACCAGCGGTGTCCGGCAAGGTTGTCCAGCATCCCCCATCCTGTTCAATTTCACAATTGATTGGATTTTGCGGCACGCCCTAACCGAGCACCACGGCGTCCAACTTTCGCCCGATATTCACATAACCGACCTCGAATTCGCCGACGACGTCGTGTTATTAGCTGAAAACTTCCCCGATATGCAACAGGCGCTCGACCAGATAAACCACCTCGCGTCTACTATCGGTTTGAAAATTAACACTTCCAAAACCAAAATGTTTTCGAACACATCCACCAGCAATGATGAAATCTTATCCCTAAATGGAGCACCTATTGAAATTGTGCCATCCTTCAGATATCTGGGATCCATAATGCTCCCCAACGGTCAAGCGAAAAACGAAGTGAATGCGCGAATCTCCAACGCCCGGAATGCGTTTCTACAGCTGAGGAGCGTTCTATGGAGCAAGAGGGAAATCAGTCTCAGGACTAAAATTCGGGTCTACCAAGCCTCCATACGACCCGTTCTCCTGTATGGCTGTGAAACCTGGCCTCTTCGCGCGGAAGATTTACGCAGACTCGAGGTAGTAGACCATTGGTGCCTCAGGTTAATTTTGCATGTTCGTTGGCAGGACAAACTCTCCAACGAAGAAGTGCGTCGTCGTTGCTACAACATCAACCAAATTCCAGTACTGGTCCAACAACGTCGCCTTCGGTGGTTTGGCCATGTTCTGCGCCGACCAGATGACGATCTGGTCAAATCAGTTCTAAATCCCTCGCCATTACCATCTTGGCGATGTCGCAGGGGTGGACAGCTGAAAACATGGCTTGGTACAGTCAAGGCTGATATGGAGTGCCTGGGGCTACAAACCGTCTACGGACTCCGTATGTGGAACAAGAATTGGATAACCCTGTCGCAAAACCTTGCATCAGATCGCCGCGCCTGGGCAGCGATGATTCGAGATGTTCATGAAGCCGGCTCATCCTCCCGTAGGAGATAGCCGAAGTAAAGTAAAATTATGACAAATGCCAATATATCTATTGTTGTCTGTACTGTTTTCTTATTGAATTAAGAAGTAATTTTCCTAGCTAGCACTGACTAGAACTTTTACTCAGAAGCGTGCATAAGCAAAAAAGGATATCAGTGGTCATTTCTTATTAAAATAATAATGAGACTTCAGGCAGATAGTGAGACAGCATCAAAAAGTATAAGTAATAAGGCGATGACACAAGACATTGCTAGGCTATTGAGGTATATTAGAACACTGTTAAAAATATACTCATTATCTCAAGTCTTTTGAATGAATTAGGAATGAAATAAGTTTATTTATTCCTACAATAAAACAGACAAGGATATACAGTGTTAGCCAAGGGAAAGTTAAACATTATCATATAGATAGGACTGAACAATAGAATTACGATAATACATAAAGTTAATACGTGTAACTGTAAGCTTGATTAGATATGATATGATTATGAGCAATAGTTTGTACTCGAAACGTCATCAGTTAATATAACTGTACAACACTGTGTGATTTATCAAAATAAAATCTTATCCATAATGGAGTTATACTCTACCACAGTGCCCAAGTTTTATACTTATATGATTAGAAGGTAATTTGACTTATTGATACGTGTTTACATTAAATGCATAAATGTTATAACATATGAAGGTTACCTCCCTACATATGCATACAGAAGAGTACAGTAACACAGAAAGAAGTCCTAAGTTCACAGCAATGGTTAACACATCAACACCACCTTAACATAACCCTTTCCACAATAAAATACATCACATTCTAGTACATACATACATATAGTTTCACCAAAAAATCTCATTTATCAGCGAAGATATTAATTATTTAAAATCTTCAAGGAATCAGTAAATACCACAAACAGACAAATATACAACCTTCAGTAGAAGTGCCCTGGTCCAGTAAACCATACTTCACAATAACAAAATCAAAACAGGTATTAAACATAAACAGTGAAAAATTAAGTGAAGATTGGTGAAAATGTTCAAAAGATAAGTAGATAAATTGAGCCAGTAAGACTACGATCTTTTCCCTGTTACCCTGGGACGGCTAATTTGTCATTTCCCATTCAAGGCGTGGCATATGATATCACCCAGCGGTCTCCTTAGCATGTCTGACACATAGCCATTTTCTTCGGCATATTTGTTGGGCAATAGGCTCTTAGTCAGTTCGTTGTCTGATAGAATTCCTTGTTGCTTATCCTTTCTGGTCGGCTATCTGTGTGGCAGCTGTTGATGACAGTCACCAACAGGTTATTGGAAATATTTCTCGTGGCAAGCCAAGTCTCTGAACCATATATATAAAAGATTGAGATCTTTTTCTTTGCTCTGAGTGCAGTACATTTATAGATTGATTTCTGAGTGATGAACACCTGTCTTGCCTTCCTGATCCAATATGATAGATTAGTAACAAAAAATCCAACTTAAAAACACATTCATAATTACCACTGTTCAGTCAAGGGAAGTTAGTGTTGGCTAGTAACGGTAAGTCACTACCTGCTACAACTCTTCAAAATACTGTCAAGAAATGAATCAAAACATAATAATACACAAAGCAAAGAAGTTAAATCGTCATTCAAAACAAACACGGTACTTGAGAAATATTTCATTGTTAATATGAATAACCGTTTCAAAGACCACCGGCATCTAATCATATTATCTAGGAAAAGAGTAATTCACTACAAGGCTTTACACTTAATAGTATTTATAACACCTTAATTATACTGAATGAACGTATGAACATCACTAGATTCTCCACTTTAGAAAAAACGGTGCTCCAATGAAATACTTAAATGCAGGAAAGCTGAACATAAGTGCTACTATCTGCTATAAATTTTCTCAGACTAATGAATACTGGAGTTGAAATGGAATCAATTGATTCTGCTTACAAACTACGACAACTAGTGGTTATCTTTTTCTAAAGAAAAAAAATAAATATAGAACACAAGGTAGAATTGTGTTGATTAGATTGAACAATAGCTAAAACCAGCATGCAAATGTTATGCCTTTTTTTAAGAAAACCTTACAATTCTTCATATTCAAATTACCGGTGCACAGAGACAGAATGACGACAATACTTGTAATTGCATAGTTATGACTATACATCTGAGTTTATTTATCAATAAGATAGAGATGAAAAAAGTTCACCAAAGAAATCGATACACACACACATAAACAAACATTAAGATACTTGTCTGTTTTTCTTCTGCATATTAATTGGTTCAATTAACACTATAAAGTATTGTAGTGTATGCTATTGAGATAATAATTCTGTCTACCACTACCTGTCCAGTTTTGATAACAGAAATTTTTCTCGCTTACAGAAACACTTCTGCATACTACTAATAAGGGGGATATTCTACGGTTAACTCTTAAATGTACCTCCAGCTGGTAAATCTCCATTCAAATAATTATAAACTAGTTATGTGGAAGAAGAATATAATGCCTATGCATACGAAACGTTGATAAACTGAAGAGGAAAAGCATAAAGAAGCTATAAGCATGTCATGGATCTGTAGCTGTTGACGCCTTCATTCTTCTAAATGCCTCCAACACATAGTGAACAAAGTGCTACAGTGATGCCAATCGAGCGGCGCTAGCTGGAAGTGGAATAGTCTGAAGAAGAGAGACGATTGGTAAAACCAAGTCTGGAATCATTTCTTGAATCCTTCAGAACATCGGTTTGAGCCAAATAGAGAGACGTAAGGAGGTGTAGACCATCTGACTGAGGTCCTCGAGATGCTAGAAACTAATAACCTGAGACTGTCGGTGTCGTAGGTGCATTCAGTTTTTCTGAACTCCCAGATCTATTAAATCCTCATTATTCTCTATGTACTTGTTCTTCCTCAGAATGTCTTGTTTATTACTATTCTTTGGAATTCTTTTTCCTCTATTTTCGAGTGTTACAGGAATTGCCACAACTTGAACTGCTGAACATGCGCGAAGTTCTACGTCGGAAACTCAGTTAGTCCGACAATCAGAAAATATTTTTCATGTTCCAAGTATATCGCCTATCGTGAGAGAGGAATTGATATTCCCCACTGATATGAAGCCATATTTCCGCGATGACAACCTTATCTACTCGGTCAATAGATTTTAATCAGGACGCACTTAAAGTTAGGATTTATATCGATCAGCAACTTGTAGAAGCCCCCCCCCATGCCGATGAACACTTTTACTAGTAGAAAAAAATTGGTAAACGACTGTTTGGAATAAAGCTGTTATTATTATTATTATTATTATTATTATTATTATTATTATATTAGTAAATCAACCAACAAGATATCAGCTAGTTATTACGGATTAAAATAGTTACACACCCAAAAAGGACAGCAAGTATATGATAAAAACTTGAGAATACGAAATTACACGATACTTTTACTGAGGGACTAGTAAGACACCAAAAAAGTTGTTTCCCTTTGCCTTATCTGGAATAACACAAATCACAACTGGACAGACACACACTGTTCCCAATGAAGCATACCGATGTTTCTGTCTGTCTGTCTGGATTCAACATAGAACTTGGCACCGAAGTACCGATGTTTAGTGAGGATGATTCAGGCATAACCAAAAAATATCAAATTTTCCTTATTTTAGGTACGTCAAAAAACAAAAACATCAGCTTCATACACCGCAGCAAACAACTATCTAAGCAACAACATTTCAGGAAAGGAAAACAGAGAGATGACAAAGTACACCTCTAAATTCGACCACTTTCAATGAACAAGCTTTCCCACTCTGCAGCAGTAAGCGTCTGCTATCTAGAGAGCAAACTTCAGAGTTAAATAAATAAAACTGTATCTCCGTGATTTTATGCTAGGATATGTGGTCTGTTGCATCAGAAATGCCCCGTTTCTACTTATATCCTGGTGGTGCTCATTAAAACTGGTGTCATTCTGGAGACAAACTTTTACATCACTCGGAAAATATAAATTTAATTCAGTTAATGATTTTAGAATTAATTTGAAAGGTGACGAGTCCCAAATAGGACGAAATGCGCATCCTGGATTCCACTGCTAGTCACCACCCACAAATTAAATACTAACTAAATACCCAGACATCGTCGAAGCATCTGCACAAGAAGCCGACATGTCAACCTGAGACCAAGCACTTCGCTCCAATCAATCGACGGGAAAATCTCAAATTCAATAAAAATTAATATGACCCGTTGCACAAGAGGTGGCTCTCGTGGCCCAAGTGGTCTGGTGGATAACGCTTTGGCGTTTGAAACTATGGGTACTGGGTTGGAGCCTCGGTGAGAACATCATCACTCACTGAGAAATGCAAGTACAACCAGATGACGAGTCCCAAATAGGACGAAATGCGCATTCTGGATTGAACTGCTAGTCACCATCCACCAATTAATTTGAAAACAATCTAGAATTTCTGTATAAGATGCTGGTACATGCACCAGTTTGTAATACAGGTTTATATGATGTGCGTCGGTGGCACAGTGGTTAGGACTCTCGCCCATCATGCACATGGTCCGGGGTTCGAGCCCGCACCGACGCACACCTGATATCTATGGTCGGCCTGCGAAATTTGGGCTACCGATATCCATGCTGAAAATTCCATACTTGTACCAAAAATACAGTGTGGAATCAAGCTGTAAATCAGAAAAAAAAAAAAATTAATCATACCATAGGACTGCCCAAACAACTATAGATCTAGAGGATCTTAACAGTTAAAATCTGACTGCTTACATGCTTATGATGTTAGTCATTCAGTCACACTGTCTGAATGCTTAATGAGTGAATCAATCAGACACACTTAGGAAAACCGAGTCGGTACATTCCACTGTTTATAACAGATTTAGGCTGATTTAATAACCGATCTTAAGAAGTTGTGTTGTCAATATACCAAAATGAAGTTCGCATAAATTTAGCATTGATAAAAAAAGTAAAGTATGAACTAAATTTTAAAAAAACGAAATGATAGTAATAACCATACAGAATGGGAATTTGAGCAAGAAAAGAACCAAAATGAAACAATACAATAGTAGAATTACTCACTTTGATCGATTAAATGTAGGCACCGGTGCAATGGTTAAACTGATAAGATTTAAAGGGAAGTGATGCGGTGTAGATACACGATTATGACTTAACTGAGCCACATAGTCAATATATCTAAATTGAAGTACAGAGAAACAAGAAGGAAAGTAAGGATTATATCAGTTGGTTAGATCAGTGATAGGCTATACGAATTTATTTATGCAAGTGAAACAAAGTATTTATCTTGTATAGTGTAAACAAAAAGGAGAAGGAAGTGTACTAATTAGCTATCCAGTTTGAAGACAGCATATTAGCCATACAGTGAAATCTACATAAGTGCAAACAATCTTCGAAATTCCTGGGATATTTATTGATGAATTAGAAATAACATGACTAACACAGTCTCATCAAATTTAACTGCAAACATTACAAAACATTTCACACCACGTTTACAATTACCTTTTGTTTTAAAATAGATCCAACCACAATGTCATAGTCTTTTCATTTTACGTTTGTATTTATCTATTCATGTGTCGCCTAGCGCTACTACCGCTACTTATCGCTGATAGTTAAGTTAGCGTGTAACACCTCATTTCTGTCTCTCACTTCAATAAATAGGCACAAAATTGGAATTGGAATCAGCTAATGCGTATACCGAGTTTTAAAAGAATTTGATATTCAAAGGTTGATTCTGAGATAATCTTAATTATACTATACGGCAAAGTCTCTGACTGTAGCACTAGGTGTTGTGGATTCGAACCCTCGAGGGAATAGAAATTCCTTCAGAGTTACAGATACTCCTTGCTGACGACTGTCAACAACCACGAAACCTAGATCCAGGTTTTCCTGTTGTCTGTCTCCAACTATCTATATACTCATTTTATTTACCTTCTGTAGTTTGAATCTTAACACATGTCACCATGGTTTAAAAACACTGCTTTGATAATTAGAGAAATAGACAAACCATCATACCTGATTTGTGATGCATTTAAGCCTGGATTACCACGCCTTGATGCAAACAATTGAATAGCAGGTGAAGCATTATCAAACACTCGACAAAAACATAATAGAGAACACGCCAACATTGCAGACAACGTTTTCCCATCAGTACAATGGATCACGCAGATATTGTTAGGCTTCTGAGTTAACCAAAGCCTAGCATTTAAGCATAATTCAATTAAAGATTTTAATGAAGGAGCACGATGCGATTCAAAGCCACGATGAGATACTCTACCATGAAACCAATGATCTGATCGATAGGCTCGTGTACTAAGATTATACACAGCGTAGGCATCTGGAAAACGTGTATCAAGCATATTTTGCATTTCTTCCATTGAATTAACATTGGCAAGTACTTCAAATCCACTTTCAATAGGAAAAGAGGTAACTAAGAGAGAAAGCAAAGTATAGAAGTAAAGCGTGAACTAAACGATAAAACAAAAAAATGTTTGAATAGTGTAGTTGTAACAGCAACCTAGTAATTATACCATTGTCTTCGTTAAAACTTGTGAGCTCCATCATTCAACATAAGAACAATACTAACTGCTGGACAAAACTAAAAGCAGTACAGTAAATAATCGCTAGACCAACAATTCCCTTTATCGTCAGCAAACGGTCTTTCAATAAAATAAATGAGTTCTGCCGATGAACAGGTGGTAATGCCTTAGTTATTATTACTGCAACAATGTTATATTGTATATACTTATCTGATATGGAATCATACTCTACTATGGTGTTCAAATTCTACTCTTATGTTGAAGTATATTTATGATAAGGAACAAATCAAAACTACAAAAAGTATGCATCAATTGTAGAAAACAGAACTCTACAATGTGCAAATATGAATTAACGTGGAATTTCTGGACACAATTTGAAGACAACAATGAACTTATAGCAGTGACTGATAAACTAGTGTGATCATTATCCAAGATGTGTTCCTTGTTGATACACGTTCTTAATACCAATATAATTTCCCAAACTACGGAAAGTAGAGGAAGATTACAATCTCCTTATTAAAAGTTGACTGTTTTGGGCTAAGGGATAATAACTCCACTAACTTTCAATGATCAGTACAGGGACTATTTATTATAATGAAGTATTACATCAGCCTTTTAAGTTAAACCGAAGTAAATACATATTGCACTGACCTGCTATACGAGAAGTGATGAACTGGAAATCAAGTTCCGTATTCAATGAGCTAAAAATAGTTAAACAAAAAAATTCTTAAAAATCCAGAAGACAGAGAGACATAACAGTAAAAAATAATCTCCTGAAAGTAAAGACTAAGCCATATTATGCGTTTACTAATGATAATGGTTCTAAAGACGTTTGACTGTCTTGACTACGGGACATGACAACCTTGGTTAACGGACTGATGTCAGTATACGAGTGACAATGATGGCGATGAAGATAATGACCGTGTTTCAGTGTGTATTACAATCATAGTTTATGAGTAACTTACTAACACTCAACCAACTGAGCTACAAGTTTCAAATGCTAACAGAATTTCGACTGTCATACTAATGAACAGTACGCACCTGCTCTTCAGGAATTTCAAGAAAACTGTCGAACAAGGTGTTTTAATGTCAGTTCGAATCAATCTGAACTATAAATTATAAATAATTGATCAATTGATGCGCTTTGTGACAGCGTATCATAAAACAGATAATGTATATTTCTTATAGAAGCCTAGTACTTAGACGAAAACGCGATCAACAGACATTATTATAGATCAAGAATGAGTCAAATTCCTAATCAATAAAAATTATTTATACTAATGCAAACTGACAGCCAACTGCAGTAAATGTTGTCCAAAGATGCTGTTATATCATTCATGAAGAATTCGAATAAATTCTCTTCATATTGAAGTTTACGATGAAGATTTTTTTCTAGAAAGACAATGAAAGCTTCGCAATTAAACCCCCTAGGTCAGAAAACGCAGCCACAAAAACATTCGTCCACTAGAACTATAAATCTTTTCTATTATTTGCTCTCCTAAAAATTTGCACTTTTCTTTACCAGTGACTTTACCTATTCATCAGTGAGTTCTATGCATTTCTAAACAACAATCTATATTGACTGCATATGCACACACACACACAACCTGAGTAAGACTTTTCATTGATAAATTACTAACAGATATCTTCTGAACTCAGAATACTCTTACATCTCGTCACATTTTGTTTGTGGCATGATTACATGTATTCGCGATTGAATAGTAACTGAGGCAGCTGTTTAATCCTGTTAATCGATTAAGATATATCCCTGCAGTGGGAATTGTAGAGCCACAGAGTTAAATGGCACGATATCATACATCATTGTAACGTGTAATGCATCTTACTTTTTGACGATATGAAGCTTTTCCTCAATGTGAGCAGTTTTTAAACAATAATCAGACTTCACAAAAGATCATTTGTAAGCCAAAGAGCTTGATGGCAAAACCATCATCTTCGTTACGTAAGGATGTATATCTGAAACTCAGAGGCAATATAAATTTACTCTAACCTGTGTGAATAAAAGATTCACTCATAACGGATGAGACTGATTGTCTAGTGCACCGTTATGAACGATAGTGCTGACATTTGAATATGCCATTAGATTCTATTTAGTTAAATAAAAGAATAAAGGCACACTTTAATGTAAATAAAGTTTACATAACCTATTTTGTGGAGAATCTATACAAAAGAAGTGGCGATTGGGACTTACGTAGAAACAGATCCAATAACCTTTGTCGAAGCATCTCGAATATTACGGATTAGATTTCCTGCTCCACCTTTAATCATACCAAACATATTGCTCACCGATTGATTCTGTGACTGATTGTTACTTGAACTATGTGTAACTGTAGGCGTCTGTGTCTTCGTCGCTGAACTAGCGTTAAAAGTGACTGTTGGACTTGCACCTTGTTGTTGTGATATTACTATGGGTGGAGGGTTAGGTCTAGACGGTTTGGATGGAGGTTGCAGATTTGCCCGTTGGTTAGCTATAGTAGTACCATCTGGATGGATTGGTCCTGGACGACATTCATTTATTTTAGGTTCGCTACGGTCTAAAGTATGAATAATTAACAAAAAAGCACATAAATTAAACTATTATATAATCTGTACGTCAAGATCAACCTCTAAGGCCTAGCCAGAAAAAGAAATCAACAATCTTATTAGGATCATATCACTCAATTTATACATAAAAAGTAACCATAGATGAATCTAAAAAGCAAGGACATCGGTGTACTCATAATAGCATTATTCTCATGACACATATACTTGTAGTGTATAACTGCATTATCAGCAGCTGTACACAAATTGTGGGAGCCAGAGAATTTCAATATATATATATATATATATATATATATATATATATATATATATATATATATATGACAGCTATGAAACTAGATAGTCACAAATAGAATACCTCTGGGCATCTTCGTTTGAAGAAACTAAAAAATTTACGGTAGGACACAACCCTAACTTAGTGATAGGGAGTGAAGTGATAGAACATGTTGACCACTTCACCTATTTGGGAAGTTGTATCAGCACCAACGGACTGATTGGCGACGAAATCTCAGCAAGCATTCAAAAAGCTCGAGTTGCTTTCGCTGACTTACACCACCTCTGGCGTAGGCGTGACATCCGGCTATCAACCAAGGGACGTGTGTACTGCTTATCAGTTCGCTCCGTCCTTCTCTATGGCTCTGAAACATGGCCAATACAAGTTGAAGACATGAAAAGGTTGACTGCTTTCGATCATAGATGTCTGCGATCTCTATCTCACGTTAGGTGGTTTCACAAGGTAAGTAATGTTGACGTTAGGCATAGAGTGTTGGGCAAAGAGGGAAAATCAATCGACGAGGCTATAAAGTTACATAGATGGAGATGGCTAGGTCACGTGCTGCGCATGCCTAACCACCGCCTCCCCCGACGGGCATTGCTAGCTGACATAGGTTCAGGTTGGAAAAGAGCCAGTGGTGGCCAAACAAAAACATGGCATCAATCCATGAAATCCTTGACAGTTAAACTGAGTCAGGTAGGGAGATGCAGACTCCCGGGTTGGGGCCCTCGGGACTCTAGGAATCAATGGCTGGAGACAATGGGTGACATGGCTCAAAATCGTTGTCAATGGCGCAGATGTATTCAGTCTCTGTAATCTTTCATATTCCTTCCTACCATTACCCATTCTGTTTCACTCTCATACTTGTCAAACTCTATTGATTCTCTCCACTCATCTTCTTGTCTACCTGTGTGTGCTATTTGGAACGTGGCAACTCGAACTGCTGCACTTCGGTGCCAAGTTCTATGTTGAATCCAGACAGACAGACAGGACACAATTGTATATTCCATGTGAATCAGTATAGACGTAATTTACGGTCAGAGAGAGAGAATCACTGTGCGCCGTATCCTATAATTAAATAGATTCTTCATAAGGAAATTTTATTTTCTTCCGAAAGACAATAAGCCCAGATTTGAAGTTTAATACCAACTTATGCAAAATGAAGTACAACACAATACCGAGCAGTAACATCGAATCGACCGATCGTCAAACACTGGGTGGCTAATAAATTAAGATGATTATTATTATTACAAATGGTATAACACAACATAACTTGGATACCCATCTAAATGTTAACCGATTTGAAATAAAGTCTTTTTGTTCTATCAAACAATCTTCTATGATTACAAATGCAAGTAAAGACTACAGTCATACTTGTCTAATAAATACACGAAGCAAGTAACAGAAAACAACGATTATAATCATTGATCAACCTGAATTGAAAGGATTTATAATAGTTGGTACTCACTGACTGACTGATTCGTAGGAGTGGGTGCATTTAAATTACGCCGTTTAGCGATTTCTTCCAGCAGGGGAATAGAACCACTGACACGAACTTCTCTCATAGAAGCTAACTCAGATAATTCACCAAGAACTTCATTTATGTTAGGACGCTGAGATGGATCAATTAGAAGTAGCTGTCCTGAAAAAAAGCAAAGAAAGAATTAGAAATAATTTTCTCACCGGTTAAGCTACTAATTGAGAAACTGATTGAAGTTAAACACAATTCTATTAGAATTTTAGAATTATAAGTACTATGGGTAAACTGTACATATGAATATAACTCTGCGACGAAATACGAAAGCGTGAAAAGCCTACCTTAATCCTTCTTTTAGCTAAGAACACCTTAGGCTATAAACAAGCATGATCGAATTATGATATTTCACTTAGTGACTACACTGATATTCATTACGCAATGGATTTCGTTCAAACGCATTTATAATGTGGTTATTAGAATTTGCAAAAAATGCGGTCTAGCATACAATACCTATAAAACACTGGCAACGGTAACAGAAATGTCGTTGACTAAAGTAACGCATAACTCACTGAGTACTGAAAAATCTGGATGTAGGATTTCTTGATCAATCAAACAGTTTGGATTTAATAACGCTGCTTAATAGAACTGAACATCTCCACAGATACGACAAAATAGAGAATGTACGAGTTATGCCAACTTAAGAGAGAATTTATCAATCTCATATCACGATAGTAATCAAAAGGACTAGCCAGCCCATCATTATAGTGTTTTACATACCATATACTTATATACTATACTAAGCAAAGATCAAAAATATAAACACTAAGCTGAAATCACCTGCACACATTTACAAGAGATGATACCGGTTGGGGATGAAATAATTCAACACCTGAATATCAAATGACGTGAAGAGCAACTTACGCTACTCTAGTATCATTCAGACGAGAAGCAAGTTGACTTAAACCTATATATATGGCTTTGGTGGTGCAGAGGTTATGACTCTCGCCGACCATGCACATGGCCTAGGGTTCGATCCCCTGCCGACGCACGCGCGATATCAATAGTTGACCTGTAAACTTGGGCTACCTATATCACATGCTGAAAATTCCAAACTTGTACCAAAAATACAGTATGGAATCAAGCTATAATCAAATATATATATATATATATGAGGAGAGGTAATGCTGGTGACGCCATACTGTACACTACACTATAACAATAAACTGATTTAGCTCGGCGCAAAACGCGAAAAGTGTAAGAATAACAGTATACATCAGTACATACATCAGTATGCATCAAATACACAGTTGAGTAGTCTTACTAAAATACCAATACACAAGAACTCACGGATAAGACTGAAGAAAGCTGTATTTTCTGGATTGGTTGAAGATGGTATAGTGTAATTTGCATTAAGTATGGCAAGTTTTGATGAATCTTCAAATGGGTGATAAGTACACGTCAAATAAAATAGTATGCAACCTAAGGCCTTGAATATTAGGGAGAAACCAAAGGGGAAAAATATTTCAAGTAATTAATTCTGAGTAAGCATCACACTATATAAGTACAACAAAAAAAATCTTTTCAATCAACTTTAAACAAAATAAGAGCAATCATCACAGCTGAGTTGTTGTTCAATGTTCAACCTGAAACACTTTAGTGACAAACAAACGCAAATTTGATTCCATGATTAGTAGCTACATTTTCATGATAATATATATATATATATATACGCTAACACGGAAAACATTAATAACATGCGTATAATCTACTACACAGATCAACATTTCCTTCAATCGCTATCCGCCAGAGCAGTTTAACTGTATCTTATGACTCCTTTTATCAGTCATGTAATCACAATTCAAAGTAGTTTTATTCCAACATCTTATCGACGCAAAATTCGAAGATGAAAGCAGCAGTTATATAAGCACGATTTAGAATATATATATATATATATATATATATATATATATATATATATATATATATATATATATATATATATATATATGCCAACAGTTACGTTTCGAATCTCTGGAATTTCTGTTTTGATTTGAATTTTAAGAATGGTTACCACCTATAGATATAACCAATTGTGAAGAAACTCAAATTTGTTTACAGATTCAGACTTTCAGCATTCAGTGTAAATGTTAAGATATCTACAATACTTAAAGAGTTTCATGACATATCAAGGCAAATGTTTGAGACAACCGGAGATTATTGCAGGCAAGTCAGCTACGTATCACTGTTAAATAGCTCTTTTATTCAGTCATGTGAAATGTTGATCTCCAATTACAGAAATTCTAGATAACTGGATAAATGACACTAACTTGCTAGCACGTTACTCTTAAGTTATATCCGGATACAAAGTCTTGTAGCCCAGCTAATGGAGCACCGGTTTAACAGCCCGGAGGCCGGCATTTCAGGTCCTTCAGTGACCCATATTTTCACTTCACCTTCAATGACTTTCAGCAACCAATAAATCACAAAAACCAAACCTGTCAGAAAGCATGTAGTCTAGAAATATTTAGGAAGTATAAAAAAACTTACCCAGATATCAGCACCTGTACCAATAGGATAATTTTGATAGAGATCCAACATTTCTGGAGCACGATACATTGGTGTTGTGAAACGTTCCAACTATGAAGAAAATGACAGAGAAATAGTAGAAGAATAACAATCTTAGTTTACCAAAGATTGTTGATCACGATTAGCATGAAACAAAGACCAAACAAATGCAGAAAATAGGTATTTTGCAATTTCATTTATGTAAATGGAATTAATCGATCCTGAGGATTCAATAATATTCTGATGAAGCCTAGCCCTTATTCGTAATCATCAGCGAGTCCTCCAGTGTACATATATGACCAGATGTATATCCAAATAGACAGATGAGGTGAGATGTGACGCCACAATTCACCTATTCTAAGAGCTAAGAAGGATAGACAGACTTCAAGTTATCAATAATCCGGAAACCAGACGCATAACATTTTTGATAACAATGCTCAATGTTAACCTGAGTATCACGTATTCGTGTAACGTAGCGTGATAAATACATCGTCTTTTGGGGGAAAAGTGGAGAGTAGTTTTTGATACTCTGACCGCTTCTCATGTGATTATGAATTTCGACCACCTATTGGTAATAATCTTTCCTCTCAATCTATTGTTTCGGATTGGCATGATTTTTAAATTATTTCAAATGGGAAACTTGTCAGTGCCCTTTATACTTGACTGGACAGAAACTGTGGTAATAGAGATACTGTCCTTTCTATTTAGGCTTTCTATAAATAGACCGTTTTCATTGATCTCCACCTGTGCTTTGAAGTCCCAATGGTGATGTGACCACTGGGCACAACCTCCGATCTTTTCCCGGTTTAGGACCGGAATAACCAGATAAAAAATTGCACAGATCACAGCGAAGTGATGCTGAACATCCACTTAACTATTCGTGTTGGTTGAAGCGAGGTGGCAGGCAGTGATGACGTTAGACATCTAATGTTAAGTAAGGAAGGTAAATCAGTCGACGAATTAGTGAAGCTGCGTCGACTGAAATGTTCTGCAAGCTGAGCCATTGTCTTCCTCAACCATCAGTGTTAGACCGTGTTCAGTGACAGTTCAAACTGTAGGTGGACGCGTTAAAATAATCACAGACATGTCAAACTGCAGCGTTCACATTGGGAATCACAAAGTAACTTTTCCGTTGATTGTTGTGCCTCAGTCACGGCAAACAATACTTTGGACTGACTTTCTGAGAGAGCCCAGTGCGGTAACAAACGCAAAAGAAAGGGCTGTGATCACGAAGTACGGACGTATCAACATGTATGATAGCATTTAGACAACAGGGATAAAGTTGTCAAAAATATAGAATATAACAATGTTGGTTGAAGAATACCATCATCCGTTCGTTTCAGATGGAGACCCTTGCAGTCATTGTGATAAGTCGGGATATGAAAACCTAGTGACTGGTTGGAGAATGACGCCAATCACAAAACGAAGAGTCCCGTATTATTTACAACTTCAACAACAAGCGGAGATAATAAAAGATGACGTAGTTGAAGAATGTATCAGCCTCCTTCAGTCCTCTTAGTGAAAAAGCAAATAGGAAATGCAGATTCTGTGTTGATTTTCGACAGCTAAACAGCATGGTGGATGCTTCGAAATTAGAACAGAGGAACAAGAAGAAACACATAACGTTTGAATTCAGAGATCAAGTAAGGTGTAGAGAAAGGAAGTACACAGTTGGATGAGGGTCAGGTTTACGGGAATTTAGCCCAAAGTAGGATGGACCATACATTGTCACTAAGAGATGTGGTCCCGTGTATACCGCCAGGAGAGGAAACAAACAGAACTGTGTTAACGTCAACCAACTCCAAAGATGAAGCAGTGCGATAAGCAAGCCGATAACAAGACGCAACAAGAGTGGGTAGCAGGTCGGGGCGGCTCCGCTCGAAGCTATTTGAAGGGGAGACTAGTTGAGTGTGTGCTATGTAGATGCAGACTGACAGGAAGTGATCCTAAATTGAAACCAACATTTTGAGTTGGTTAGAAGTGTTTATTTCCCAAATCTGGACTTAGTTTATGTTGCGGCATGGAGATAACCTCATTGTGTGATGAGAGCTGGCTGCTAGATAAATTGGTAGGCAATAATTTACGTCAATGTTTACGTCCCCAATACTGGTCGCGAGAAAAACAAAGAACAAAGACTGATTCAACAACCAACGACAGCAGACTTTGCGTAGGCCGATACAGTTAGCATATAGATGATCTGACATTCAAGAAACAGCCACAAAGAGATGAAAGATTAACTTTCAGTGAGAAACAAGCAATCAGAGGATTGCGTTAGTCTGCTAACAATAATCTATAATATGTACATGAAAATCTATAAATATGTGATTTCCTTAATAAACGATCTGTTGCCTGGCCCTTGTCTTGTGTTGTACAATTGGGCGACTTTTCGTCCCCCTCTTTAACCACGGGCCAATCGCCAACCAATCAGAACAGTTTATCGCACGCTGACCTGGCCGACTTTTAATGTGGTTAAAATGTATATGATGCGTTCTTCTTTTATACAAAAAGTCCGTTGCCATTTCTCTTATCCTTCCGCCGTTACAATTTCCTTTCCTAAGTGTGGCAAGTAGAACCGACTTACCTTTGTAAAACGTTCTACGTTATCTTAAGAGTCAATTGTCAACGAAAACGTTTTGAAAGACACAATTAATCCATTAAAGTATTTATAAGAATAGGGCTTTCAATGTTAACTTTCATAAATTACCTCTTCTTGAACACTTCCACGTTTTAAAGCAGTCCATGATTGGTCTGGATTATAGGTGATTGTAGTTGCGCTGCCGAAATCGCACAATTTAATAATGAAGTTATCGGTAAGCAAAAGATTTTCAATTTTCAAGTCGCGATGTATTACAGGTGGGCACTGATTATGCATATGTTGAACAGCTCGACAGCACTGGTGGAAAATTTGTAATATAACGTTGGTAGACAATGGAGTATCACTTCGTGGTACCGGCAAATATTCATTTAACTGTCCGCCTGTAAAAATAAAGTACAAACAATACTAAGATGAAAACATCCCATATTCTACTAATTCTTTGTAGTCATTTCTTCGACATCATTGGTATCAGGCGGAAATTAACAATAAGAAAGACACAAACCAAAATCTGATAGACCTGTTTGGGTAAAAATTATGATAATCCATTTTACGGTGAAATGACAAATAGCTTCCAATTTTAGAGTGCGATACTTTAATTATAACCCTTACCATATCAGTAAACAGTACCAAAAACAGATGAAACAATGTTGTTCGGGATTAGTGCTTCATTCCGTTTGGAACTCTTTAGTTCGATTTAACTGCATTCCTAGCCAGCGATGGTATTCCCACTAAGACTCGACCCATCAACCATCGTTTCAAACAATAATGTGTTATGTGCCAGTTTACGAAGAGATTATATATATATATATATTCACTTCAGATATGTCTATGGATTTTGCTAAAGATTTATTGACTACATTATCTAAAGCATTAAAACAGTGTATGTGAATTGGAAATGATTAACTCCAAGTCTTATGTAGAGCGTCTATCACACCAGTCTTTAAGATTAAGGATAGACCCTCCTATACTGTCCACAAGCGGATAAGGTTGACAAATATAGTGCCTAAGATCCTACTGCACATAATCATTCGGTAAGTGAATGGAGCTCGGGAAGTGTAAGCCCGAGACAATTTAGCACGTCTCCGGTATTCCACGAAGTTAGATCAAACTGTAATCAAAGGGAAGAGCGTGGATTGGCTGAATAGGTTGACCAATTTCTGAAAAATTTACAAAATACATTTTGCAAATGAAAAACTTCGAAATCACACTTAGTCTGATCCAGAACACATTAACTGGATATATACGAGTCGATAATTAGCAACTACGGAATATATAAACAAGATTTTACTAAGGATAGAACCATGGCATTTTTGTAGAGACTGATCAATTCAACCAGTGATGTTTCAAAATAAAGTTGTAGTATTTATTAGTGAATACCATAGTTAACATTCAGTTGTTAACTTTGTCTACAGCTGTTATGATATTCGCTCACACATCTATTATTAGAAATGAAGTGCTTTTTCGTCCCACCTCCAGAAAATATGAACCAGAATATAAGCAAATAAGGAAATCCAATGTTATATTTAAAGTGAGTGTGACCCACTGAGAATAAAAGCATAACTTCTGTATATTAGAAGAGACGCTGAAAAATATCGAAATGAGGCCTCGAATATATACTATAATTATGTAAACTAGACTGAAATAAATGTAATTGGAAGCCTACAACTAAATTGTACACTTATATATGCCTAAGTGATCTAGGATACCACTTACTGACAACACCTGAATTTCAATTCTTGTAAAACCCTATCAGATTTTCTAACCACTCATTAGGCGAATTACCTACGACAAACTACTACTCTTCACAAGGTTATTTGGTAAAATCTCAACACATCCAGAAGGTTAAAATTCTCAGTATTTCAGCTAAAGAAGATATGCTTCATACAGTAAAGCTTTCGAAACACACCCTAATTTTTTAAAATGTGACTTTAGGATTTTGCATTCTTCCAAGACATTTACAGCACAATCTAAGTAGTTGCAAAGTATTGCTTTCCGTTTACGTCGTCGAAAGCAGTATAACAAAAAGGTTTTATAGTTTCTTGTCCATCGAGGGTTTTAACGAAGTCAAAATGGTCGTATTACACCAACCAAAGGAAAAGTGATGAGAGGAAGATTTCAAAATGCTTTGGGTATCGACGTAGAAAATAGTCCTCCTCAGGAGCGAAATATAAATTAGGATGATTATTGTCCTATAAACTACGAAATCAAAAATATAATCTATAGAATAAAACTATGCTTAAAATGAACCAAATAACTACGTCACAACCCATTAAGTCAGTGACTACTTGAAGAGTGTGAATTAAAGCTATGAATATCGAAGAGTCAATATAGGAAACATCATTACAACTATTTTCGAAAATGCCTTCACATACACTGAAAACTGTGAACTGACCTTTACAGAACTCTGTGAGTATTAAAAACTCAGTACCAACACCCTTCACTTTCTCTCTACCAACAGATGCTGCACTGAAAAACTTGAGGATATTGGGGTGTCCACTTAATTGTTTCTACAGATAAAACATCATAAGTAGCATGAAAACCTCAGTAACATACCAGCAAACGAACTTCATGAATAATCAGATCTGCTGAAGCTTTGTCGTGTGCAAGCATTCGCTAAAGATACGAACAAACTCAGATAAGATGAAACTATACCTTTAAAGCATACAAAGTGTTTTCATTTACATCCTGAGCTTCATACACAATTCCATAACCACCTTCAGCAATAACTCGTTTTACTTTCAGATTTAACTGTCCAACAGATATACTACTTCCAAGGATTTCATTCTCATTCTTGTTGGTATTTGAAGTAGCAAAATAATTGAATGCGGACTTCAAGTAATCAGCCATCAAGATATCTTGAAGTCGGCACACACTATAACATAAAGAACTTTTTAATAATATAAGTCATAGTAACCTGCATAAATGAAAATGACTAGGAAGATATATTTTTAAAAGACTACCGCGTATATATATATATATATATATATCCCACAACAGCGTTGAAAGAGGCATAAGAAGTTTAGCTGTTACTCGAGTCATAAGTTTAATTCCACTGCCACACTAACATTCATACGACCATATGAATTACTACTAAGGTTGACTGAAATTACAAGCTACCATCAAAGCTTCGAAAGTTATTTGACCTTGTATGAGGAAAACCACATGCAGATTTAGGGATAAATATAAAATTACCAGTGCGGTTGGTTTCCGAGAAGTGAAAAACTACTGTCAAAACAATCAAAGTCCGGAAATTTTAGGAGTGGCTGATCCAAACAATTGTCTATTCTAAAGTGAAGTGAACGATTGTAATTCTTAGTGAGATAAGAACTCTAAAACACTTCAAGATTTTTGGATGTAAGATATGTCCACAATATGTACACTTCTAAAGCAGCCACTAGAATGTACTGAACAACAATCACAGAGTGAAAAAATAGAGCAATCATGTACAAGCCCATCACAACTAAGGGAACAGCGGTTGTGGCGCCAATCTGAAGTGTCTTTCTAGTTCAAAAGAGAATTCTCAACGAACAAATTGCATCTGTATTTAGACATGAGCGACAAAACGACAGCCAACAACAGAACTAAGAGACAACTGCTACAAAACTCAGACTAACCTATCATGAAATAAGACGACCACCAAAACTTCAATGACTTACCAAACATCTTGTAAGTTCTTAATTACGGACTTCGTACATATAAGGCGCAGGTGTGAGCTACATTAACTAAAATAGCAACATCATGATCGGAAGAATGGTAAGAGATTTATGAAGAAAGCGTCTAGTCAGTTCTCTTTGATAGATCGATAGGCATCCACCTGCTGTATGGCATTAAGCCTTATGTTAGACTACAATGGCTTTGTGACAATATATTCATCAGTGGCTGAATGTTGATGACTAGTATGCAACCTGCTACACAGATCATCTATCGAAACAAGGCCTTTTACTGAAATTATCATGAAGCTCAGAGAGAGCCAGTGTTTGTTACTAACAACAGCATTCAACAAACACTTGTGGCATTTTGAAAATGCCGTCAATGTTCCTATACATTTTGTGAAAAATTAGTAGCTAACCTAAGACCAAACTAAGTTGGATATTTAGCTCCTATTTGCCTTTGAGCCCATTTAGCAGGACAATAATGATCAATATCAAAGAGCCGAAGACACCCAAAAGAAAACTAAAACATAACCACATTATAAATAAGCATTCCAGAACAAGCATGAGTCTCTGCTGACTCTTATCGTCGAAAACTGGTAATGAGTTTAGGCGTGAATGGTAGGAGGACGTCAGGTGAGTATTTTTCGATGCCCTCACTGCTTTCCGAGCCTATGGATCTTATTGGGTAGCTGTTTTCATAAAGCCACTGTTGGAAATCTTTTCTCGCGACCCACTGTATCAATGGTGCATATTCTCTTAATCCTTCTAAATACGCACCCCACCAAAAATATTACACTTTTGTTGCCCCACTCATGTTTTACTTTCGCGAACCTCACATATCTTGACCTTCAGTGAGGGCTTTTAACTCCATTCAGATTTATTCCTTCAACACTCGACATTTTCTCGAATAAGGTTCCAGATGTAAAGCACGTGTGGTACTGGAATGTTCGAACTGAATCTAGTTACACAGAAACGACTACTAACAGATATTCAAGTGGGTGCTGCCACCTCAGCTTAAATGACGTGAGGTAGGAGTCACCTATAGATTTTCACAGAATAAAACTGACGGAGGAGAAAACGTTGAGGCATTTTACTAAAGTTTTACCTGGGTATCTAGGATACAATTTAGATTCATTGTAAACCACTTACGGTTTTGGCTCTTTAGAATAGTATACGGAGTTAAAACCCAGTAGACTATTTCCTTTAAGTAAGACTCTAGTGGAAACGGTCTTTAAAGACAGAACGGTATTCTCAGTTACAGAAATGAAATGACATCGATCTAATATATTAGATCAATATTATAATATATGAAAGTAAGACAAGGTACTATGCCTGTGGAAATTATGATGATGGTACAACAACCGCAATCAGCCCATTTATTTTTACAGTAGGCCTTTCCCACTATTGACTCATCTACTGTTTTTGTGTCACTGGACTTCGAAAGGGTGTGCAATAATTGGATTCTGGTCAAATAGATTTCGCCTTATGTGGATCAAATAATTGTCAGACACAACACAGTTTAAGAGGTGCTTTGAAACTATACCTTTCCAAAAAATCCAGTCAGTTCTTAAACAAACACTCAAAACACAACATTGACGTCTACCGAAACTCGAAAGACATACCAAAACTAGCCGCTGTAGTGTGAGCTAGGACATTTCTTTCACATTTAGTTGTTTAAAACAAGACGACAAAGATTTTTCATTTGATAGAATGATGCCTTTCGCAATTTGGAAATGTAAACTGCGGGCCAAAAATTTTCTTAAGAAGAGAAAAAGTGGAAATATGCGGGATAATGACGTCTGGACTTCAATTCTTCACAACGAAACTGTTCATGGAGTGAAATTGAAGAGCAGTGAGGGGATGGAACATGTTGTTACTCAGAAATCGGAGTCCGGATATCTTCGTAGACACCAGAGAAATTGGACAAAGCATCTCTTCAAAATCATTACCTTTTATGGTGTATTATAGTGGATAATACAGTTCCTCATGTAGAAGCTCCACCTTTCGGCATAGTATTATTCAATGAAAACATCATGTCTCAGGATATCAGTGTTGCTTATTTCCTTGCGAAAAACAGTACTTTTTGATAAATAAATGCTATCAGTTCACAGGAATCACCAATAAATGCTGACAGAAACTTCTGTGGGAACAGCAGATATGTCTTTCACTGCATGTGCTTTTGGACAGGAATAACCGAAAGTTGAAAGGTTACATTTAATAGATTTAATATATATTTGCACTGATTGGTGCAGTGTAACATGGTATATGTGGATTCAATATATAGAAAACATTTCAGCTGCATTGTTATTTTGACATTGTCTGCTTAGCTGACTGCTGGGCTAACAAATGTAGGTGGTTTTCACGATTATTGCAAGTGCATTGCAGTGGAGAAGGAGATTACTTGTTTAATTTTCCTCAGTGTATCAGTTAACGCATTAATTCAGTATATGGTGTTATAATACACATGGATTGTGTTTGTTATGGGGACGTAATCTAGTCAGATCTATTATTACCAATATATTGTCTATTTTACTACTTCCACTGACATTGTATGCTTAATATCTATGCCCTAATGTTTCTGATCATCAGTAGTGGAAATGAATTCCTCCTGAAATTTTCATTTACATGAAGCAGCACAGATGCAGTATCACGAATGTATTTCTAGGTTGTATTATATGACAGTGATGTCATCACCAACACAACAGGTTTATGTGTCTTACAATATTTCAAGTGTTTCTCTATGTTGTTAATACTGAGGATAGCTTTTTAGAACTGAGGCATATTTAGCTTATATTTGATGGCTATAGTCTCCTAAATATGAGCATGTAATTCCTGAAGGATTTACAAAACCATGTTCACTAGACATTACTGAGATTGTGAATTAATTTCTAAGTTATATATTAGGAATGCTTAACTGTACACAGCTCCGATTCATTTAATTTGCGGGCTTTGGAATCCGTCATTGAATGTTCATGGGTGCAACAGTGATTATGAATCATGTATACGGATGGTATTATAAATTTACTGCAGTGACACCGGATGCATGTCACTGACGGGCAACCAATGTATTTAGATCTATCCCATTAATCACTCATAACCACAAGTAACTGAGCCTTTAAGACGGGTGTGATTAACTTCAAATTTCTTTTTGTTTCCAAAATTGCATACAAACACCACATATTAATACTTCAAATATGGCTTATCCTTGTTTAATTTACAGTCTCTCACAACATATCGTGTGTTAACTGATAATAGACATATTGTCAATATGCTCACCCTCTTGAAAAGCTTCAAAGCTTTTCAACTTCAACCCCGACGCTAAATTCTTCAGGTTTAATATGCTCCTCGAAAACCTTTTTTAATATCAACTCTGATAGTGTCCTCTTCACCAGAGTGACTCGTAAATTGTTGCATGCTGCCAACATGAACGTGAAAAACATCATTTTTTCCAGACTTCTACATATTAAGTGATCAAGTGAGCAAGAAAAGGTAACGACAAGAAACAGATGAACTGGAAACCATATCTTCTGTCAACCAAACATGTTCATGTGCATAAATTCCAATACTTCTACATGGTAATATTTCGTGAACAGCTGAAAAACAACTAAACATTGCAACCACGAATGAATGCAACGTGTGGAACAATCATAATGAAATAAATTATCTAACCTAGTGGTAAGACTTCCGATAGAAATGAAATAACTCATTTTAACAGCAACAGGGACAAATACGAGGTGGAAGGTAACATTTGCGAACAATGTACATCAAGACAACTCATAAATAACTGTTGGTGTCAGCCACGTCTCGTAAACCGTTAATGCCCAGCTCTTGCTGCACTCGGGCTCACGCTGTTCCTTGAAGTTTCTCAGAAGCGCTTAGTAATAACGGACGCGAAAACCAAAACACCAACTGGCGACTCGAGGATTCTTTATTGTAACACCAACATATAAACAGTGTTACAACTAAGATTTCTGACAGTTGTCTCCTGACTTCTTTCTGAACAGCGACCGATTAGACGATGACTGGTGTATTGATGCCTCCGCGAAAATATAGGGAAGTTGGGTTTGAGCAAACAACCATGAATTGGTCGTTCAATCGTCAACTACACTGACAGTTGTATAAACGTAAAAGACAATTTATAAACGAGCGGTTAGGGAACGACAATCCAAAATGGCTGACCAACACAGACGAAAATGTCTTTCATCTAATTTATCTAATGACCTTGGGCATGCGGGATAATTTCAGCCTGTGAATAGCATTGGCATAACTCCAATTATACTGTTGTTTCACGGTCCATAAACCATGCGGTGAAGAGAATAGAGAGGAAACATGAAGCACACCAACTAAAAGAGGATTTCCGTGGACAGTTAAATTTTGAAACGTTGATGCTTTTACATGTGTGTGTTCATAATTAACATGCATTTACATAATTCGCTACTTCGTTTGGCTTCTACACAGTTGATTATTCAATTTCCTAAGTAAGTAGGGAAGATCTTGTGAGGTGTGCGTATCGTTTATACTGTTGCTGCACTTTAGAGACAGGCCACGGTATCATTATGCTTACATAGTTATCGCAACTTAAAAGTTTGCTAACTGGGTACTTCACCCTATTAAGCAAGCTACCGGTCTTCGTAACTGAGGCTGCATGACCAAGACTAAGTGACTGCGAAGTTAGCAAGGCTAGATGTTATAAAAGCTGTCATGACCTCAACTTTACAGATGTCAAGGATGATTACTACTAATTTGTGCAAAGTTGTATGTCGAAAACAGACAGACAGACAGAATTGTTGTCTTTGACTAATCACTTTTACAACGCTGAAAACCAATGCCAACTTGAAATTACACTATTACAAGTAAGCCTGTCTGGAAAGTTTACTTTTTTCATAATTTAAACTGATATATGTTTATCATTAGTTGGCCTATAGTTTCTACCTTCTGATTTCCGGTCGGACTATCATTTGTGTGTGAAGGATGTTCTTTTCCATTTAATCATGTAGGCGAGACCTTCTAAAGACGTGGAAAAATTTAAGGCAATGATAAAGGTATGCCAGGTGTGGTGAGAGCAGGCTGCTAGCCGATTGGTTGACACTAATCTACGTTAAGGTCTAGGTCACTAATATGGGCCGTGAGAAAATATGAACAAGGCTGAGTCAACAACCAATCACAGCAAAGTTAACGTGGCAGAATATGATTCGCAGATAGAGAACTCTATTTGTCAAGGAATCCCGAAACAACCAATCAGAAGCCTGCGTTTGTCTACCTAACTTCTGATAAACAACCAATCAGATGACTGCGCTTGTCTATAATAATGTAGTTGAAATATGTATAAATACGTGTTGATTTTCATAATAAAACGATCTGTTGCTTCGCCCTTGTCTTCTGTTGTTACATTTGGTGTCGCTGCCTCCAGAAAATGAAGATCCCGTGGCCAGCTGCGTTTGAAGAAGGAGACATAAGGAGCTTCTTACGTGACTTCGAGGCTGTTGCTGAGCTGGTGGGTGTCAAGGAGCAGGCAGCAAAGGCAGTTGTCTTGGGGACGCTGTTGAGAGGCCGAGCGAAGGCTGCATATGACAGCGTAGACAGGTCAAATGGCACAGCGTCTTGGACGAAATTGGTTGAACGACTAGTGTCCGAGTTTGACAGCGAAACAGACAGACAGCTAGTAATGCAGCAGTTCCGGTCAATGAAGCTGGACCTGATGGAGACCCGCTAGTGTTGGCGGTGAAACGGCTGAAATTCAGTTGGGTTTACGAACTTATTTAATCTCCAACAATACCATTTCGAACACTCTAACAGGCATTACAACTGAATGTGAAAAACTACTTGTAATTAAAGAACAACAAAAGTCGCCAGACTGTTGAAAATATCGTAACTAACCACAGAACACTAGGATATATTAATATTTCTGATTCTATTGTTTAATCTGCCCCGAAATCCCAGTTCTCTCAAAAATACCAGATATCCTGTCAAGCTTTCCATTTTGTAGTAACTAAAAGCCTTCGATTATCTAAACAGCAGTGAAACATCACATCTTCCGTGAACTCGTAAAGCCAATCCAGAAGGGAGGGCATGATTTGGTTCTGCCACGCCACGCATAAATCCAGTCGGTTGTCAAAATTCATGCGCGAAGGCGGTCGCTATAGTTTGAATTCACCATAATTTATTCGATGTAGCCGCATGTATTGGAACTTTCGAGACATTTCACACTATAGAGGAGGTATCCTACACAGTGTTGTCCCTAGCCCTCATATGCGGAATATATGCTTGTAAAATGGAAGTTAGAGAGCCGAGAATAAACCTGAGCATACGTAAGTTATGATGTCTGAAGTATTTTGTCGAATCTATTCAGTTTTCCCTCCTCCGCGTCCAACCAACTGTATGGGCTTGCATCCTCCAAGTTAAGTCATTTAATTCCGAAGTGTACATTGTCCTTCCAGAAATTATCTTCATCTCAGGCCTTAATATGGAAAAAACTTATTTGAATTCTCCAAAAATGATATAATTGTATCTGCTTTTATAATCTTTGTAGTGACTAGTCAATTTCCATTTGTATTGGTTGTTTTTATTTAGTCAGGATTCAGACGGCTATGGCATGTGGTTCATTCCTTGATAGCCGGTGGATCTCACTTTCACTTATCTTTCT